ATGGAAATATGCATCTCCCATGGGGAAAAAAGACACTTTGCTTCACAATTTAGCTATGCAAACCTCCCTCCTTTTCATGCAGCTTTTGTTATGTTGTTTCTTCAGGCATCAGGGTTAGTTTGGCTTCTTGGTGGGGTGTTTTCTTTCTCCTTTTACACAGATAAGCTCCTCGGGGGAGCCTCCTCTGCCCTTGGAGACATCAGGACTAGCTTAGCAATCATCCTGGGTTGGCTTCAAGCTTTAAAGGTGAGCAGCAGTGTTTGCACAGACATCACAGGGCTATAGAGCAGCTTCAGAAATGCTTTCCCTATAAAGACTCTAATGATACTGTGCTGGGTTTATTACTGCTAACCACACTAAACCCTATCACAACCGACAACAGGCTTCTCCATCTGTAATGACTGTCAGCTGCCAGCCCTACCCAACGCCTGATTTTCTCCCTTAACCTGCAATTCCCAGCTTTAGGAATAGCAATATTAAAATCCCTCCCCAGGCATTCGCTTCCCAAAGGCAACAATTTGAAGCTTCAAACCCGCCCCTAGCTCTTAACAGAAATCAGAAGGACTAAAAAGCAAACGGGGAGAGAGGAAACCCAACTGCATTTTAGGCATTACGCTGCTTGTCTTTTGGCTAGAACACGCCTGAGGTTGGTGGGTTTTAAACACCTTTGAGAGGAGAGCAGCTCCACTGGATTAAATGCATGCTCTGGAATCGAATCATCAACAACTCCCCTGTAAGCCCTACACAAACTTTGTGGCACAGCCTCTTTTTGCTCGGCTCGCCCTGCGTTTGCATCTCATGAACACGGATGGAAGAGGTGGGTCTTTTGGGGATGAAAAAACCCCAGACAGAGATCAAATACTGTTCTGATGTGTGGCAAATATCATCAGCCTAAATGGAAAAGGAGCTTACTGCAGATCCTGTCCATAAGGCAAGCAAATTCCCTGCAGCTCCCAGAAGATATTGCAATGTAAAAGGATTGCATTCTCTATCTAGGGCTTATTTCTCTAGGAATAGAAAAGCAACTCTAAATAGCAGCTGAGGTCTTCCCTCACTTTCAGGTCTCCCATTTACAGCTCTCATCCACACGACCACTGCCAGCCAGCAGCAGGGAATGAGCAGTAATGTCAGTTTAGCCCAGCACCAGTTCACTGCAGGTCTCTGCTCCTTCGGTCCAGGCAGCCTTTTTGCAGGCAGTAGCTGATGCTGCCCACAAAGCTCATTGCAGCACTCGGGCTCTGTGTGCTGTTCCCTGCTTGTCTTGAAGAAATTCCTGCTTTCAAATAGTATTTTAAGAGCAGGGTAACACATGGAAGTGGATTTAGGGACCTCAATTCCCATCTTCAGATGTGACTTGGATTTCGGTGGGATTTCTGCATCCCTGTTGCTGTTTATCTGCATCCTTAAGGCAATTCAGCCCTTCTGGTCTGAAAGACTAACACAGGCAGGTACCAAGACCAAGCATACTCTGGAAATCCACTGCATGTCCCCAAAGACCGGACATTCATTTCCTTGGGATCTGACACTGATTCCATGGAGAGACTCAAGTGTTGCCCTGGGAAACTCCTCTGACACCAGAGCCTCAGTGATCAGCCTCGTGCCTCCCATGAGACTGGCCAGTTTTGATGCCAAAGCCATGTCAGTTACTGCTCCCAATCCCCAAATCCCCATCAAGCCACAGCACAGCACAAGCAATGGGAAAGGCTTTCTCCTTTTGCTGTGCTGTTTATTGTCTTATCACCCACCCTGAGACAACGAAATCAAACATCTTGGCATATCTGCCCCTTACTCGCTGCTGCTTAACCTGGAATGTATCTGGAGCAAAGCCACCCACAGAGCATTCAGGATGGGCTGCTTTTCTGCAAGAAGAGGCAATAGATGCCCAAAACCAACAGAAAACACAGGGTGAAGATTAGAATCCTCCTGATTTTGTTGGAACTGGCTTTGCATCCTCTCTCCTGCAGTCTGGACTATGGACGGGCATGGTGACCAGGTACGGCACTGCAGGTCCCATCGGTCCATCCCCCAGCAGTCGGCAATTCCAAGAGTGTGGAGCTTCATCTTCACCTGTCAAAGAGGTCACGTCCACCTATGGCCTTGCTCTCCCGCAGCACTTAATATTCACACTCACAGCACTGATGCAGTGATGGAGCCCAGCAATTGAGCCTCCGGTGTTTCTTCGATCCCCTTGCAACAAGCAGAACTGTGTTGGCCTTAATGCTGTTTTCAGCTGCCTGTCACTGAACACTGAATCATTGATCTGAAGAAGTCAAACTGGCCGCACATCATGGAGTTGAAAAACTTCAGCATGCTATGGATGCTCTTTGCATGGAATCCTGCTGCCCGGGGGAATGGAGCCAACCCACCCAGCGCCCAGCTCCCTTCCAATGCAGAGCCAACCCTAAACCAAAGCAGCACCACAGGCACACCTGGGTTAACGTGCACCGCAGGTCTTGCCCCCGCAGTCACTTACCTTGTTTGACAAGACCAGATGAAACACTTCATGATGCCTGCAGGGGGCACAGAAGCCTGCCTAGCACAATGCTGCAACAGCAAGAGGAGTTCTCAGCATCTCACCATGTGCGGGCTGGGGAATAACACAGACAAAACAATTTATACAGCACCCGCAGGGCACCGCGGGCATCTAATCTTGGGGTGCTGCTGCTCCCCCAAACCTCCATCACTTGCGGGAGCAGCCCAGAGAGCCAGCGCTGGAGCCCAGCGCGAGACCTTCATAGGAGCATCAAATCCCAGCCTGGGTTGTGTTGGAAGGGACCTTAAAGCTCAACCGGTTCCAACCCCCTGCCATGGGCATGAGTTTTGCCATGTGGCAGCATCCTGCTGAGCAGCGAGGTGGACTTGTGCTGCTCCAAACCCACTCACCATGCCCAGGACTTTGCTGTTCAACACAAGCCGTGTGTGCTAATAACTGAGTTTGAACTTATTATAAACTTGATGGTGCCTAACCAAGAGGCCTGAAAAAGGAAGCCAATTATCTGACACTGTCAGCTCTGATCCTAAACCAGATGTTGGAGTATATAAAATTACGTTGCGAGGGTTGGAATTGCAGATACAATTACAGCCTTCATCGTTATTGCTGCTCATAAGTGTTAAACGCAACTACATCTACATTGGAAATGCAGTGATTACCACTTTCCTTCATGTCTCCCAAGCCCGCATTGACTCGCAGCACTGACACACTGGTAATTACTCTCCTTGTCTGATAACAACAGGGGAATGAATGGAGATGTTTGTGGAGCCCATTTACTGCTCATCCTGTACAAAGAACCTGGTTCTTCCTGTGTTTGCTTCTAGGTTGAAGGGGCTATGGGAGGTCGGTGCCAGGATCCAGCAGCCCAGCAAAGGCAGGAGAAGGTTGAATGAACCCAGATCTTCATTTCCTTCCCATCTTTCTGTTAGGAGCACTCTTTATAGTTGGCGTTGTCAAGGTTTCCTTCACAGCCACATGAGCTGCTGACACATGCCCCTGCGAGCATCATCAGTTCACATCAGCTCGTGCCCCCGGCACCTGGAGCTTCAGGAAAGCTGAAAGTGCTGCCGATTCAGGGACAAACCTCACGAGCTGACACCAACAGCCTCAAAGCTCGCAGTGAAAACACCCCGGGCTCCAAGTGCTCCTCCTGAACCAAGGCTGGGCGATGCTTTTCCTTCCAGACCTGGAGGAAGAAAAGCTTTACAACCCCACAAAAGGGCCTGGAGACAGATGGGGGTCATAGAACCATAGAACAGAGTGCAGAGAAGAGCATGGCTCCTATTGGGTGGGATGAAAATCATCCAGACCAGCAAGGAGGAAGTCTGGAACAGGCACCTGGGCAGGCTTGGAAAGCTCTAACTGCAATGGGACCTGCTGTGACCCCACATCCTCCTGCACCTCACGGCTTCAGGAGCCGCCTTGTCCCCACACATCCATAGCCAAAGGGCACAGGAGAGCTATGGGTAAACCCGAGATGTCCCCACTGTTACCCGCAGGGTGCTGGGCGCCGGCTGAGCATCGCAGGGACCAGCCTGCTCCGGCCCCGGCACAGGCGGGGTGCACGGGCGCTGGTAAAACCATGGGCAATGGTGCCCTCTTGTGGCAGCTCCTTTTAATGCTCCTTGTTCAAGGAGAACGGTCATTTTTAGGTTAAGTATCTAAAAAACACACCCAGAAACTGCCTGAAACCAAAGATCCCCGAGAACAAAGCAGGGGGAAATAAGGGGTGAAGGAGATGAAGCTCATCTCCCATCCGAGCTGGCAGCGCATCCAGCCGCATCCACATGTACAAGGCAGGGAAAGGGGCTGTATAGGGAGAGGAGAAACCACCACTTGCACTGGGGAAGCAAAGAGCAAGCAGCTGCAGGGTTTACAGGCTCAAAAGGCCACAGCGATGGCTCCTTCCTCGCTCCCCTCCTAATGCCGCTACCCAAACCTAGAGTGAACGGTGCCCCAAGCTAACTGCTGACTTCCCCTGTCCCCAGCATCCCAGCAGAGCAAACACCAAACTCAAAGCCTGGGCAGCTCCTGCGCTGACAATGCTTTTTGGAGCCCAGCCAGCCACTGCTGCAGCTGCAGCAAGCACCTCTTCCCTACACAGTGGCAGCTCAGACACTATCAGGGATGCATCACCCATGGGTGTCCATGAGATGCTCTCACAGCTGCTCCCCCCCCCATGGTGCAAGCTGAGATGGGGGAGACCCAAGCCTCGCTCACTGTAAGGACAAACACAGGATCATAGAATCAGCTGGGCTGGAAAAGACCTTTAAGGTACCAATAAGGTCCCCCCTGAGCCTTCTCTTCTGCAGACTGAACCCCCCCGGTCCCTCAGCCATTCCCCATCACACCTGTGCTCCGTTGCCCTTCTCTGTCCCGATCCAGCACCTCATCCAGTGACGCTGCTCACTGGCTGCTCCACATTGAGCCTGGGATGAGCGACCTTCCCACCAGGCTCTGCCCAGCTCCCGTTCTCTGATGGCTGCCAGAAAAGCCCCACTGAAAGCAATTGCTATATGTAGGTTGTTTATTGATTCCAACATATTAATAGATTGGATAATAAACAGTACTTTTAAACATTCTCTTAACCAAAAATATAACAAATATTTACAATCACTCAGTAAAAATACAAAAAGCATACAGAGGCACTGTCTTTCTAAAAGACATAAGTGTAAGAGGTATCAAAAAATAGGAGACAAACATTGCTTGTTACAGAATACTTTACAATCACTGACTTGTGCAGTACAATTGCTATTGGAATATCATTACATCTGTGCAGTTTTGCCAATATGCTCACATATTTAGAATTTAATTAATACCAAGCTCAACTGCATTCCAGGTCTATCAAAAATAAAGAGAAAACAAGAGAAAGCACAACAGAAGCAAAAGCTGGGTGGGGAATTCAAGGTAGATTACCCTCTATACAAGCGTCCTAAAATATAATGTGTAAAGCTTTTCTAAAGAGAGAGTATCCCTTTTTCCTTGTCTTTCTGCAAAGGCAGTGAGAAGTTTACCCTTGAACTCAAAATGAATTCTGATGTTTGATACCAACTTAAACGACAGGTGCCTATTTCCACTGTTGCCTGCATGAAATGACGTGGGAGATGATGAAAGAGGTTTTGCACCCAAGGGGCAGCACGGACAGATCCACCCCTTGGGGAACTGGAATGCCCTGTGCCTGCGGTGGGTGCTTGCAGCCCTCAGCGCACTGTGTGCCCCATCCCAAGCAATGGGCTCTGACCAGCTCCCAGTGAAGCACCACTCACCTGTGGAACTCCTTATGGGATTCAAGGCAAGAAAGAGCCAGGAAAGTGACAAGCTGCCCATCATCAGCCAACACCCACCTGCTCCTGCACGTCCACGCTGCATCAACGCGTGCTGCAGCATCTGCAGACATCACCTTTCCGGTACCTGCTGTATTTGGAGGTGAAACCAGCACACAGAAGCTCCATCATCTCATTTCCCCCTTTCTGCAAGTGGAGAGGCCAATGAGACCTTACACCAGCGCAAGGAATTTTCGAAGACTTACTTGGAAGTTTCAGATTGAGCAAGCTTAATGAAATACTGCACGGTTAAATCCCAAATACCTGAAAACATCTCCTTCACCTGAAAGTCAACAGCAGAACGTGAGGGCAGTGGAAGAACGGGACACGGGGCGTTTTAACTGTTCATCCAAATCAGAGCCCGGGTTAGAGGAACCCGGCAGAGGTACCAAGTCTGGGATCAGGGATGCAGAAGACAGCAGTGAGGCAGTGCACAACAGGTACTAACCCCATCCCACATCCACCTGAACGACTGAAAAAGGGATAGCATCTCTTCAAATCCACACCAGACACACTACATTTGGCTACCGGCCCCGATCAATGTGATCGGTTTAGTTAAGAACAAAACAAAAGCTCCCAGCATGGACTGGGGGGGGCAAACCACACGGTGCGGGGAGGGGAAGCAGGAGGAGCTCATCCGTCCATGGGTTAAATGGGACTTATTTACACCAGCTGTATTGGAGATAGGAAAATAGGATTACAGCAAGGCTTTCACTCACTTGAAACGCTTGCCAGTGTCCTGACGAGCCCCGCAGAGCAGGCGGATGCTGCTGATGTGCAAACACCATGTGTTGGTGGGCACTGGTTCCATGGCTCTTTCTGCAGAGCCCAGCCCTGCTCCTGGAGGAGCTGGACCGTATCCTCAGGGACAGCGCTATGGGCTCGGAGGGAAGGAGGAAGTCGCTTCAGTACCAACCCCTCATCCCCTCTACTTTTGTTCAACAGGCTGAAATACACTACAGCTCAACACCCGAGGGCACGGGACCCGTGTGGTTCAATTCACCTGGCACAACACAGACCATTTCCTGACCAAGAACTGTTGTGCACTCCATGTAGGAGTTAACAAGGAACTAGAGCTGACAGTGGGATTGCTCCGACTTGGCTTTACATCCCAGGAAAAGATCCGTTTAACAGTTATATTATCAACGTTCCATGTGCTGTGCCCTGCAATGCTTTCACACCGACGTGAATCTTCATTCATTAAGGCCTGTGCAGGTTCGTTGTGTTCATTAAGGCCTCGAAAAAGCAACATGTGGTTATTGTGATACCTCACCTGGGCTTTAATACATTGTTTTCAACCATTTGCTCCTCAGTTACTTGTGCCAGCCAATCAGTTAGGAAGGAGGCACCCCTTCCTCAGCATCACTGTTGATTTAACACCTCCCAAACTCCAATCAATGTGGGTAAGCTCCAGCCACACGGTAACAGTGAACCTGGCATCACTATGAACATGGGCACAGGCCGGGTCATACCCATTCCCCCGGCCCCATCAGTCCCAGGCTGCGATGGGGAGAGCACGTCGAAGGCTTTGGGTTGTTTTTGGTACTTGTGTCATTCTCAGAGAACATCGCATTCCCCTGCACCCCCTTGCACACACACAGGGAAAGAGAAAACAAACCTTAAAGCTCTTCACAACTATGGATATAGAAATCATTTTTGAGGCACTGTAAAAATGACAAACATCATCTTCCTAGCTTAGGCTGTAAACATCACAACAAAGATTTACAATTAAATGTTTAAATACATATTCACACATTCATGTCCAATTGTAACACTAGAATGGGGCATCATGTGCTAGAAGGAAGGAAGGAAGAAAGAAAGAAAGAAAGAACCTGCAGGTATTTCCAGTTTTACCCCTCTGGGCTCTGGCTGGCTAAGCAAAATCAAACAAGCCATTCAGCTGACCGTGGTCAACCACCAGGATCACGTGGGAATACTGGCTGGCTGGAAGTCAAAGCTGCCATTGACATCCACAGCACCAGGATTTTAACCTAGGATTTAAAACAGCGTGCTTTGAGAACATCTGTAGCTCCCAGATGAACACAACAGAGGTTTTTAACCCATCATAAAACACATTATACCCTTATATAAGCATTACATCACTGACCCTCCAATTGCAGTGATTTTACTGTGAAATGAGGGCGGTTTAGAATGTCTTTTAAAGATAACCTTTGCACCTAAATCCTGTGCAGCTCTGGCAGAGGGCCAGGACGTGTGGGATGATCCCCAAACCCACAACACACGGCTCAGGTTTTGGTTTCTAGCAACAGGCTTCGCATGTGGGACTCTGCAGGGCAGAACCTGGGGAAGCTTCAAACTCCCCTGAGGGCTCCCTGCCAGCCTCAGCCTCCACCTTTCAAACTGTTACTTAAGAGGGGAGGAGAGCAACTCCTGCCTTAGTTGGCCTCCAGCTAAAACGCTTCCAAGGAGAAGGGTCTTTGCTGTGTCCGGGTAGGAGGGAGCAGCAGACGGTGCCGCTCTGCAAGGCTTCGTGCTCCACCTAGCTTGACTCTAAACCCACTCTAAAATCCACCTATTTCTACACCTGATAACGTTCTGCTCCCTGTTCCCTGTGTTTGAGGGCCCAACAGTTTGTGCAGCTACTTCACCATGACTTTGACTAAACATTTACATTAGCCAACCAGAGCACTCCCAACACGAATAAAGGAAATTCCCATCAAAAGAAGACTTTAAATTAATAAATTATTTTCAGATACTTCAGCAATGTCCTTCGCTTTTGCTGACATTTTGATAAATTCTTTCTTTCTAAAGTTCATAAAATAACACTCTTAGATTTAATAATGATCATGTGGAAAATTAACGACGATGGAAAACTATCCATGGATTACATGGTATCATACAGAAGAACGCTTCCAAGTGTCAAATGGTGGTGACAACTGGTCCTCCCAAATGCATGAAGCCTGGTCCATCTCTGGATACTGAGGTCAGCATCCAGGCAGTCAGAACACTCCTTGAAAATGGCTTGCTATTTCACAGGCAGAAATAGCTTTCTTAGGCGGTGGTGGACTGAAGTAAGGTAGAGAGAGATGTGATCCAACCCGTTCCATCTTGTCCATGACAGAGGCAAATGCAATGTCTGAGGTTAGTAGCAGCAAGTTGTTAGCGTTGGCTAACAGAATCATGTGGTCCTTCTCCCCACATCCCTTGTGTCGTGGTTTACAGAAATAGCCCAATGGTTACACTGCTGATACTTGTTCATCTTCTGCAAAACAAGAGGAGAAAAAGGGTCAGTTAGTCCATCAGTCCCTTGCCTCAGACACCGAGGGTACAGACCAATGCCCCACTATTTGATTACAGCGATTCTGTGAAGACTTCACTACTTCAACGTGATGTTTTCACTGGCTTAATCACTGACCACTATGTATTCAGTATTGCCATTAATACCCCAGACCCCTTGAGGATTTGATAACAGTCATACAATAAAGATGTATTGCAGAACAGAAAATCCCAGATCCTCTGAAAAATTATTAGCATGCAGCTCCCAAGATGCCAAAAGCTATAGATTTGGGAGAAAAGCCAGTAAATTCACTCCCCATCATGCAGAGAGAGCATTGTATCCCAAAGAAAATTAACCAAGCACTGTAAAAATAGGTGTATCTGAAAGTGTATGGTTAAATTTAGTTTAAAAAATTTGGGATTAAGATGTTTGAAGCAATTACGTCTTTATTTTTACATCAAAAACACTGAACACCACAACTGAATTCATGTGGGACAACTTCACGTTTCACCAGAAGTTTGAATTGAAGTACTAATATATATGTTAAACACTGTTTACATATTTTGAAGGGCCGAGATAGGATCATTTTGCATCAGAAATTGTTTTAATCTAAATCCAGGCTCATTTGAAACCTGACTGAAATGGATGGAAACCACAGCGTTCTAATAAAAAGTGAGTTCAGTAGCAAAGGGTACAGAGGGATCACATCAGTGCACAGGGATTAAAAGCAAATCAGCACATAAAACAGTTAAATAGAAATTCCCCTGACTCGATGTTCTGACACAATATAAGAGCAGTCTTTTGCAGAAGAATCTCTTGCGTTTTGGTCACCCCATTCTTGCTGTGCTCACAGTGTTGGCTGTTGCTTCAAACAAGATCATGACAAATGTGGCTGGAAGAGACACTGTCAGGCCACGCTGGGCTGAGAAGCCAGGTGTTATCAAACCCACTTTTCAGAAGAACAGAAATTCACTGCTATTTTGATCAATATTTTTCAACTCAACCTCCAGGGATGTCTGGTGAGGAATAAACAGTTTAACAGGAGCACATGGGAATCCAAATGGGAAACGAGAGTCATACAACAACCCACCAAATCCAAAAATACCCATTTAAGATCAGCCCCCTAAACCAGGGGACATCAGTTAATCAACCCAGAGAGGCTGGAGCTTTCTCATGTATAATTTATAGCCTGACAGTGTCCCTTAGAGTGAGCATCACCACTGAGAGGGGATAGATTGTAAAGAAAACAAAACAGCATCTACATGCTCTTAAGTGTCTCAGTTGTGCTTTGGGAGAGCTCATATGTATATTTACATATATACATTTATAGGTAATTTAGAGTGTTTGGTGTCAACATGCTTTTCCTAAAGAGAAGGCATTCTTTCTCTTTTCTAGACGTGTATATACATGCAGACGTATATGCATGTGCATACAGCCATACAAATGTATTTGTATAGGAAGAGATTAACCAAGTCTTAATCTCCAAGAATGACCAAGAGAAAGCCCAGACCATCGTTGCACAGATTCCCCCAGCAGTTCAGTTAACATCTACCGAGCCAAGTGTTGCACATACCATCCTCTTCACTATCTGCGTCAGTCATATCTGCTAGTTTGGGGTTGGACGGCTGCCGACTATGCCACTGAGGCATCTTCGATGCAATACAGGCCACCGGTTCACTACCGAGAGGAGCTGATGAAAGTCTAGAGAGGTCACTGTGCAGCATCTTTGACCTCTGCACTGCCACACTATAGTCTGGAGGTTTTAGGTGTGGGTGATGGGGCGATCCTTCCTTTATGTCCGCTAAAGATATCCCCATATATCCCGGAGGGGTGGGCGGTGGCTCCCTATACCTATCGTCCTTCTTAGGTGAGGTGACACAGTACACTGGCACAAGAAATAAGCAATGGAAATGTTAAAGAAGAAAACAAAGGAAACAAAACGTTAAAAAATCATGAAATGTTACAATGGCAAAACAGAAACTGATAACAAAATGCAAATGCAGAAACACTGGTTATAACGACAGCAGATACTTATGCTTTCATTTATGTTTTCTGTTTAAGAAGCCAGAGTGGCAAGAAAACCCATGAACTCAGCAGCCATGGTGCCAATTGAGTGGAAACTGCACTGTAACCTCTACATTCAGCTTGCAATTACAGTGCTCATTAAAGTCCCTACTCCTGTGGCACTGTTTTCCAGTGGGATGCTATGAGCTCCCGGTATGGATGGAGAGCCAGCACTGCGATGCTGCTGGCTGAGCCTGCAGCCACTCTGTGACAGGCCAGGAAACTAAAGAAATCCAGGTCACCAGCCCAAAGTTACTTTGCATAGTGCAAGAGTGACAGCAAGAACTGCTGGTTGACTTCCAACATCATCCACTGCAGCACCCAAAGGGGTGACAAACAGAAATTCATTATAGTAAAATATCATTGTACCAACTGATGTGCAGAAAGACATTAAACCAAGCAATCTGCAATGCTACAGGAATTAAAAACGTAGTATCATCACAGAATGGTTTGGGTTGGAAGGGACCTTCAGAGGTCATCAAGTCCAACCCCACCTGTAATGAGCAGGGACACCTTCAACTAGTTCAGGTTGCTCAGAGCCACGTCAAGCCCAGCCTTATCACAGAGAACTGCACCCATGAGGCAGACTGGATATTCATTACTTCACATTTTCTAATAGAAAAGAATGGCTTATCATGTCCACACTTTTTTGTTTTGTTCACTTTTAAACCTGCATCTTAAACTGTGTTCTCTGTAAGTGAGAAATAACCAGGAACAGCCATGGAAGCAAAAAAGCCTTTGGAAAGGCTGCATTCCACCTTTTGCAGCCACGAAATGCCTACACTCAATCATATTTATGTGCAATGTCTATGCCACATAATCCATCATCTGCCTTCCTGCCCCGTGCATCAACAGCTCAGGTCACACAGGCTCTCAACCCAAACCTTAACTTTATGAAGTTCCCTTCCCTCCCGCCTGCCCCCAGGTCTGGGGCTCTTGTGCATGTTAAATTGGGCTTTTCCATGTACATGTTGCAACAGGAGAGTTTCAAAGCTGGGATCATGTTAAACATCTACTATTTGGGTGAATCTGCATTCTTCTTTGTGGATGCATTTTAAACAGTGCATTGTGATGACAGCTCAATTGTTTAACGTGAAAGGATTAAAATAAAGGAGTATTTCTTATTGCATTGTGGACTTGGGAGATTCTGGGTGCTGGTATCAGGAACAAGAGCTGGCTCATACACGATGACCTCAGTTCATGCTTGGGCTTATAGCAGAACAGGATATGAATTCACACAGGTTGGTTTTTAGGGGATACACGTGGGTACAGGCAGAGATTTATCCTGCTCGTTTATAGGAATCATTTTCATTTAACTAGCATCTCACTGGGCCCCTATGAGAAAGCAGGGAAGCGGTGGAGGCTTTCTGCTCCTCAAAGGCTGGGTCCTCTGAGCAAACCCCACCTCCTGTCTGCACTGGTTTTGCAGGAGGGCTGACCAGGGCTGGTATATTCCCCTCTGAAGGGGAAAGCTTCAGGCTTCCTAGAGCCAACATCTAGCCTACGGTAAGAAGAAAAGCAGGAATACCATGCAAGCCCTTTTGTAAAGTTCCAATTCATAACATTTCACAAACTCAATCAAAACAAAAACATCCTAAAAGCTTTTACTGCCTGCACCATTAAAGCATCCTCAAGCTGTCACCCACCCAGAGGCTCAGGAGGTCACAAAACCCTTGCACAAGGAAACCCCCTTCGCAAGCAACTGATTACTCCCAGTACTCACTTTGTAAAGAAACTAAGGTGAAATTCTACACAGTGGTTAAGGGAAACCTAACTAAAAGGCAGTGATACAAATTCTGGTGCCTGCTATAGGTAAAAGAAGTGGAAAAGCTTTTTCCTTTGGAGGCAGAGCAACGGCACATCACCACATCACCACTCCACACCTCCTCCGCTGGTAAAGCAAGGTTGCTGCAAGACACTGATGTTGCAGAGGGTGGAGACGTGTGTGAAGTTAGGAAGCCATGGCATTTACTGCGTCTGCCAAGCCCACATTCATGCCACTGGTATGTGGGCAGCTGCCTTTCCAGCTCCGTTTTCAAGGTTTTCAGGCAGGAAAGCCTGTGACAGCGCTTTTGGGGGACTTCTCAACACCAGCTCTCATTAAGCAGACGAGCTGAAGATTCTTGTTTTGTTTATTCTGAACTCGTGCAGTCATCACAGAACTGGCAACAAGCTGTTTGTAGCGAGCAAGCAAATGGTGAAGTAACGTGAAATGCCTTTGGCATATTGCATGACGCTAACAGGTTTGCATTTGCAAACCATATCCACCTATATCAGATCTTTGCTTAAGCAGACACATGCATGCTCTACTGAAGCATGGTGCTGTTTCTTACCAGTGTGCTGGACTGCACAAAGGTGGCAAGCTGTATGGTGCAGTGTCTAAACAGCATTAAAAAGGAGGGGAAGAGCTCTGAGCAAAGACAGCACGTACTGAATAGCCAACACCACCTCCTGAAACAGCTCAGAGGCTCCTGAGAGCCTGCAAGGGCAGAGCACATGCACAGGAGCGAGCTGTGAGCAAAGCAAGGCTCCACCATGCTCACACAATGGTTAGGGTTGGAACTCTTAAGGTTGCTGCCTTTCTTCTCCAAAGCCAAGGAGAAGGAATGCAACCCAAAACCTCCACCCTACGTGGGATGCTTACTTAGGCAATTACTTCTGATAACATAAACCCCTCTAGCAATCTAGTCAGTAATTAAATTGCATTTCAGCTGCACCTTTGACTTACAGCCTAGAAAGCTTTGCCCTCCTCTTTTTATCTTGTTCCTAACCCAGCTCCTTTAGTTTTGGCTGCTAAACTCACCAGGACAGGAAAAGACATCTCGGTAGAACTATGCATCTTTGAAAAGGCATTTTATATGTTTTTCTCCTTTCATATGTAGCCAAACTGCAGCTGTATAACCAAATAAATGGCAGTTTAGCATAGCAAAGATAGGCAGGGAGTCTGCTTTGCCCTTCAGCTTCCAGAGACAAAAGCCCTACGGATGAAAGGTGCTCCAGCTCCAAAGAGGTGGGAGAGCTCCATACCCCTCAGCAGTCACGCTCTTCCCTCTCAGGTTCATGGAAAGCCTGTATTATATTGATTTCAAGAAGTCGTGCTTGTTGCTCCTTGACAGAGGACCATCTACAGTGATGAGTGTTTCCAAAATCACCCAAAAACCAAAGGGGCCGTACTACAGCGAGGAGCTGCCTGACATTTGCACGCAGACACTGCTCCTGCAGACCCATAAAGTGACTGGGAAGTGGGCTGGTTTAGCACTGCCATTTTCCTAATGCAAAAGGAGGCGGCTTGAAAACACAGTGCCTGCGTAGTGCTCTGACTCAAACCACATGGAAAGCTGAATTTAACATGCCATCCAGCCCCCAGACCTGCTCATGTCATCTCTTAACTTCATACCAAAACGAAAACCAGATGTAGGAGCTTCCACGAGCTGCTGGCCCACTTACCTATCAGGCCTTTCTCTGTACTCGAAGTCACTGTTTTGTAAGTCGTATCCGCGCCCGGTTTAGAGTCCAAAACCTCCGTCTGCTCGGCTGTAGAGTTCTCCAGCCCCCTCCGCTTGATTGTCCCATAGTTTGTTTCGTAGGTGTCTGAGAGTGAGCTGGAGGAGGCCCAGCTCTGCCGAGACTGATCCAGCTCCATGCTGGCTTTCGACTGCCTGTTGGCTTTGGAAAAGGCTTCCGAATACAAGTAAGCCTCCTCGGAGTAACAGTTTGTGGGATCGACTTCAGCTATGGGTCCGTCCAGCTGCGTGTGACGGTAAGAATTGAGGAGATCCCAGCTCTTCTGGTTCGGGATATTCTGGAAGTTGTCATGAGAACTACTTGAGCACGAAGTCCAGCTTCCCCGGCCGCTATCTGCTGCCTCCACCGTGATGTGCTCGTGGGAGATCTCCTCATTGCTCATGGAGGATGTGAAAGCCATCCCTCTGATGAGAGCAGGCCTGGTGATGGACCAGCTGCAATTGAACGACACAAGCCAGGAAAAACACTGTTCAAATAAACCTGATGTACTCAGAGACCACCACCTGGGTTTAAACACAACTCCAGTTTTAGAACGGCTAAGCAGCAAGGTCAAGGCACATAGGAGCACTGACAAGAGACACGGTTACTCCCGACTCATCACTGCACACGGCAGCAGGGAAGTTATTCCCAAGGGAATAACAAGTCTACAACAGGCGTTTACAGGCATGACCCCAGCTCCATAAAAACCTGGTCCACAGAAACTTTCCTTTATCAACTACAGCAAGGCAGTGCTTGATGGAAAGCAGAGGAGCAATTTACCTCCCGGTTTCAGGCTCCCACCACCTTTTTCTTTGCATTTATAAACTAAACCCAAAATCAATACTTAGCATAAAAGGCCACCCCTTTGCTGGCAGCATCACGATGCTGTCTGGACAGAGTGGGGGTATTTGTATTTCAAAGGAAATATTGGGCATAAATAACATTTGTGGAAACAATCTGGAGTGACAGATTCTGAAAACCAAAGGACGAAACTCCATGTTTAACTGAATGGCTGCTGCAGGCTCTAATCACCGTTGGTGCATAATTAAGGGGGATAAAATCAAGCCAGGTTTGCATGCATTTAGAAGACATGAAGTTACAATTGGTAGACGTTATTCAAGTCTCTTAACTATTCCTGGTTACATTAACAAATGCATGGGTAGCCCAACATTAAAATGCAACACCATCCCTCAGCAGTTTACTGACACATTGTGAAATAGGGGAATATTATCCTTAGATACATGCAAACAACTTCTTTTCCTCCCTTGCTTTTCTGTTTCGTAAGTCCTAGCCTAAAACCAGCTTTCTTCTTCTCCCAGCCAGTTCCAAGGGGCATTTCCTCAGCGCGCTGCTCCTGCTCTGACTGAACTCTCAACATGTGTTAGGCCTTTGCGATAGAAGAATTATTTTCTATTGAGAAGCACATCTTTAAATTCCCATTTTAGCCCAGTGAAATAAATCAAATCAAGGATTTCTTAAGAGCTGCAGCACCTCAGCAAACACACACTAATAAGATTTTTTTACAGGCAAGAGATCACAGAATACTGGTACAGGCTAATCAGTTACACAGCTTTCTAGAGTTCAATCATAAAAACCTTATATAGTGTTAGAGACGAGCTGTAAAAAATAGAGATGGAAGGAGCCTCTCTCATTTACCTGAATCCACAACATCTGAGGGCAGAAGAGGCTATCTCAAGAAGATTCCCACATATTAGATCTTATGGATCAAAGGCTAACATCTAATAACACAAACCCAAAAGCTTCCAGTTTAAAGTGTCATCTCAGGACAATGGCTCATCGCACTAAAGTAATAAGACCTTTAGTGTGGAAACTCCAAGAATTGGAAGCTTCCAACCTGCCTGAGCAACAAATGATCATAAGAAAACTCCTTAAAAATCACATTAAGTATGTTAAGTGATTGGCACTGCTGACTCAGAGAGCACTGATAATATCCTGTTCTGCTGTCTCTCATTACCACACTCACTTCTTAAGTAGCATCCTAGTTTCAAACACATTTGCAGTCTCCCTCATGGTATGTCCATCTGATCCCACCAATGGGAACAAGCTGTTGTCTACCAGAGTAACACCATAACTCTCTTGGGAAAACAGGCTCTTCCCATGCAGAGCAGAGCTTAATAATGACAGCAGAGTGAATAACTGTGTCCTCACCAATGCTTTGTTACCCCTTTTGACACCAGACGACACCAAGCCCAACCATAACCAGTTGCATCTTACCCAGGGCATGGCTGGCTGTAGTCAACCAGAGGCTGAGGATGCTCTTTCCTCTCCGGCCCTCCTGAATCCACCACAATAAGAGACTGGGACAAACTCCTCTCATCTTGCAGCGCTGCTGACATGGAATCCACTGAGCAGTTGCTCACGATGCTGGACCGGGATGAAATCTCACTGTGGCTGGAGTCTGAGAAGTTATCAGATTTAGTGGAAGGTATGAGGGCATAGCCTGGAGAAGAGGAGAATGTCTTGGTCAAAGAGCAATTCGAGTTTGCTAGGCATGACAATGGAACACTGACACACACATTGCAGCAAGGGTATTTAGAAGAAAACCAAATGAAACCCTGTTTGCATACTGTCAGTTTTTAGGGTACCAAACCTTTTAGCATCTATCAGCATCTAGCATTGATTTAACAATGTGAGTCCAGTGACTCCAATAACCTCCCTGCAAACTCCACTACTCTCCAGAGCAGAAGATTAAACCTACATAAACAGGATTGACAGCTGCAGCATGAACAGTGAGTGGATAGATCAGGTCTCGCCCATCCTTTCCTGCAGTTCTCTAGTACAAATGCAGTGTATTTCCCACTATCCCTCTGCTCTACTGTTATGTGTGACTCAAAAAAGATTTTGGCAGTGGATGAGGAGACGCTGACTAAGGTAAAAGGCAGCTTTTAGCACTCACGGGTTAGCCATATGGTCCGTTTTGGGTTTATTACCTGTTCCAAAATTAACAGAGAAGGAAGCAAAAGCAGGAAACACAGCTTTGGCAGGAGCTGGCTCAGACACCAGCACTGCTCCTGCAGAGGGGAATCAGCTGGAGACCTCACCAGATTGAGAGCAAAATATCTAATGCATTTTGTCTGTTTGGCTTAGCCTTACCCTCAAATAACTTCTTTCAAACACAAATAATGTTATAGCCCCATATATCCATCACCTCCTCTTCCTAGTACTTGGAGTGAACATAAGAGACTACTACAATGGGGACTTCCGTGGGCTCTGGCTACATACGCCCTGTAGACACTTCTGCTGGTATAACTAAAGTAATTCCAGATGGGACACCTGCCTCCAGACCACTTCAGAAGAAGCCCTTAGTATGGAAAACTTGCCTGAATCATCTTTTTTATGACCTCAGAGAATCAGGGAAAGAACTGAAATGAACAGAACTCAGCAAAGGCAACAAGCTGTGGTTTGTTCCCCTTCATCTGAGGGCAAAAAGTCTTGGATTCATGAAGTTCCCAGTGGGTTTCTCTATAGCAAATCCACTGCAGGTCAGGAAATAGATCCCTGCCTTCACTAGGGGCAAGCAGTCTGTGATTTACCCTACATTATGCACATAAAATTACAAAATTAGAACCTTTATTTGAAAATACTGGATTATCAACTGCTTCATGTACAGGAACATGAGCATCTGCTAATGAATCTTTACAGGAGACCACATTAACACACTGCTGACACAGCACTCAGCTAAGCATTTTTTCCCCAGATCCCTGCTGATTTCTCGCTTCTTTTCTACCTCCATGTGCCTTTGAGCTGGACTGCCACATATTTACATCAATCAGGTGGAAATGTGAAAAGCCCAGGCAGCCTAAGAGCCATGGCAGCGATACACACAACTGAATACAGCAGACTGATGCCATTCAGTACATGAAAAATACGGAGATCTCATAATATGGCAGCTGGAGCCACTGGCATACATGCCACTGAGCACACAGCTCATCATTCGAGAGATTCCACAGTTCAAGCTTAAATATTGCTGTAAGATTTTAAGAGCAGATATGAGCATATAGTACCAGTATTATCTTAATTTTAAGCTACTCTTCATCAAGAACTTACAAAAGGGCTCTTCATGAAAGAGATTAACACTATCTGAAAGCTGGGTTATTAAAGAACAGCACACGCATATAAAGAGACTAAATGCAGTCCTTGCTGGGCTGAAAAGGTCAGCAGAAGATGTGATCAATGCAAATACACACCAACACTGGAAGTGAGCATTTGATCTACATCATATGAAGGACTATCTAGAGTCTAATTAAGAGAACAATGCAGAACTTACTGTTTCATTGGCATTTGCAAACACTAAGTAACAGAACTGTCACTGTACCTGTTCCTTGATTTTCTAAACTTCACTTTATTGTCTTCACTGCACTGTAAGGGTGATTAACTATAAATAACTGACACAAATATCTGAAAGGGAAGCACATTGAACAGCTTAAACATGTAAATGAAGAACTCTGAAAGAACTGGGATAAAGTGAGGACATTTGACATAACATGGACATCACAGTCTTCCATCTAGAAATACATCAGATAGTCTTCCTTCTCCTTCTAGGCTTCAGGCATAGGCAGTAAGATGTCCACAGATTGCTGTTGCTATAGATACTTGCTATGCTCAGAGCATCACTGTCTTTGTCCTTTTGGTTTTCACTCCTTTCTGAGGCTCCAGTGTGCTCTGCTTCCCTTTTTGCAGTAAATGCTGTTCTTTCCCTGAAGAAGATTCTTTCCCTAAGTCTTCTAAACTGGGGTCCCTCCGTTCTCCTGTGCTCACGCTCAGCTTCTGCCTTTCCATGCTCAGCTTCTGCCTTTCCATGCTCAGCTTCTCTTTCTCCCTTTTCACTCATGTCTGAACTGTCTCTTGCTTTCACAATCATCCAAATTCTCTTTTGCAAATAAGCCCCACCTATTCCGTAGCTGCGTTGTCCACTGTTCTTGTTGCTGGCTTCACTGGCGAGTGATGAGGAAGAGCCAGAGAGGTTCATCTGACTGCTGTTATCCAACCTTTGGATGTTACCAACTACAATAAAGTACACACAGGCACATCTTGATAAGGGAGAAGTAACAGCAAAAACAACCTCCTGATTTTAAACCCTTTTTTCTCCAATCCTATTTGCATATCACTTGGGTATAGATCAAAAGAGAAGGAAATATAAGATTAAGTGGAATGTGTTTGTGCCTAAATTGTGTCTTTCAGCTGTCTGTGAAGCACCTAATTTTAGTTCAATGAGGTGTTAGCACTACACATACAACAGGGTACGGATCACCTCAAATTACATCAGTGCTAAAAATACACTGAAAGCAAGTTGAATTAATGAAATAATCCCAAAGAAACAAAACATTATTTTCAAAGACCCAGATGAAAGTTAACAAAAATAACATATCCATAAGCAATGCTCAAAAATCTCAGTGGAACTGAGATTTGGCAGCCCAAGTAATTAAGCTTTTTATACATATGCTGTGCTTAAGTAAAATAAGTGGCATTCTCCTAAAGGAAATAGTATCTTGTGAAGGCAGAAGTGGACAGAGCAGCATGATCTCCCACTGAAAAGGGTGAGAAGGTGCAGTAAGCCACCATGCCGTGCCATGCCAATCCTGTGGCTTTGGGCTGCCGGTGAGGCAAAGCAGCACAGAAGAGAGGGAGAAATGCCTTACACCGTTCAGCACCGACCACACGGGCTGACTACAAAGTGGTGTTAACAGATTTCAACTGAATTCCCATCCAAGGTTGCTAATGATGAAGTGATGCAGGTCTTTTAAGACGAAGACATCAAAAATAAAGGGGTTCTCAGGGCATCATGATAAACAGGGATGTATACAAAGCCCTGTGCACAAGAACAAGAAGTATGAGTAACAACTCAAGGATTAGAGGGATGCACTACTTTTGCAGAAAACCATCTCTTCTGGAGAGCTATGAAACCATTTTCTCTCCAGTTCCACCTACCCATCTGATATTCCAGGTACCTAAAGCAAAACCATATGGTGTCTCAGCAGCCTCTGTTTCTGTGCAACAGTTGTCTTCAAGAAATGCCCAGGTCTATGAATTCCATTCATGTAAGTGGCCACCTAAATCTGAGCTGATAACGCTGGAACTGAAGAACTACTGGGAGTTCTATCAGAAGCACTTAAGCCATTTCTAAGACAACTTTTCCTCTTTTTAAATACTGGGTAACTTTAAGGCCAAAACATACAAACACAATGAAAACCTATTTCTATTCATAGAAAGACGCGATTCTAATCTTGACTACAAATAGTCAAGATTATTCTAAATCTTCTAATATGAAGAATATCCTAAACTACTATTTATTTCTCTTACATATCATTAGCAATAAATACTCCTGCCATGGCCCACCCTGGTTTTAGTGCAACACAAGCAAGAGCTCCTGAGATTGATGCTGACACTCACAGAGAACATTCACCCAGCACACGTACCTTTGCGTGGAGAGCCCTGAGGAGAAGCAGGAGGGCTGGAGTGCAAAGAAGATGCCATGGACATTGTGTCATCTGTTTGTTTCTTACTACTTACTTCCTCAGACAAGCTTAATGACTTCTGTGGGGAACCTGTGCCTACGAAAACAACAGAATCATTGGTGCATACTATTCTTCTGTATGCTGCAACAGATTGTTTCCTGAAGCTGTTTTAACGGATACTGATGCTCAGTGTATCATAGAATCATTTCATATCACTTACTGACTGCAGCTGTTTACATAACCCACAGTTGTAGCTTTCAAATAATACAACAGTTATGCAAACAGGTCAGAAGTATTTTAACACATAATACTGCTTTGCAACTAGCAAATTCAGGGACAGAAAAAACCTGATGCTCACTAGGAGCATTAATGAATTAAATAGGAGCATCAACTAATAATACATGTTGCTCCACTGGACAAGAAAGTTGTTAAAATGGTGTTCCAGAGGTTAAAACATTAAATCTCTGCAATATGTTTCAATAATTTCAACTGAATAAATTATACTTCATTTTGTCACGAAAGCAAACAAGTGACATTGTTCTACTTTGGCTGTGCAAGATCCCTTCAGAATGCAGAAACACACAGTATCAGACTTAACATGGTACATCTGACCTGTTCAAGACACAAGTGTTAAGACAGCTCCCCTCCTTTAGTTACTGAGCCTATCCAGACAGGTGAACTGCAGATACTCACTGAATGTGACATGTTCCTTTGTCAGTCCCTTCTTCCTACTGGGGTATAAATTCACAGTTGGAACCTGAAGAACTTGACTCATCCTGTTCTGTTGATGCTGATGGGCTTTAGCGGTTTGGCCAATTGACCTCATGGGTACTGGAGACATTTCGGAGGATTTCCCTCCTCTTCTCTCACTTAAATTCTTTGTCACTGTGTTATAGAGAAATCGCATGTAAGTACCTTGCACTTTGAATTGCAGGATTAATACAGTCACTCCGAGTACAACCATCCAGAGAAAGCAACCACGGTATAAAGAAGATAGAACTGAAACCATTTCTATTCCAAACACACTCATTTACCTATTTCACTATCTCAGTCATTCTGTGATCTCAAATCATTCTATGGTCTTGTTACACTTAAGAGGCTGCTGCATGAAATGGCATTAAAAAAACCTAAACTCCTTGAAGTGTCATAGAGACACTTTATCCAACCCCCCAAAATATGATTTATTTATTTCTACTGTAGGTCCATATTTTAGATGTTTGTAACTAAGATGCAAAAGCCTCACAGCATCTCCTTCAAGCTTACGTCATGCCACTGAAGGGAGAAGGAATGGTTGGCATCAAAGCTTTCACTAGGTGGCACAATTGATTTACAGCATGGCACTGATGCAGTTTCTACTTTAATCACAAACTCTGAAGGTAAGACCAACCGAATTCTCCTTAAATTCCCTTGGAAAAGTCTGGATTGCAGCATTACTGCTGCTCGTTCCTTCTGCAAGCAAGGCTGGGAGAATCTTACTGCTGAGATAAGAGACTGGGGAGTTCTCTTCTGGAGATGTGCAAAAAGCCCCATCAGCACAAACCCAACCTGTTGGGGTTTGGTTTGGTTTTCCCAGGTTTTAAAGACAGGCACTTCAATAACATGCATTTATTTGTATATTTGCTTAACCTCCGTTTTCCTTTTTGGAAGGTGAAGACAAAAAAGGACTTGATTTACTTAACTGCACAAGGTAGAACGCTCAGTATTTATTCCCTGGTTTCACTTCCAAATCTCCACGGCTAGCACTGTGCAAACAAGGTTTTCAATGATTTATTTAGCACAATTGAAAACCAACCTCGTCACACTTATGTTTGTCTCCTGGGCATAGTATGGCCACAGTTCTGTTTGCACATAGGTCATCTACCAGGAGTTCACCCTGACATGCTTTAATTTATTGTGTCAGTGGGGGCGTAAAGCATAATACCCACAATGGTGTTACCTCTGAGCAGAAACATTCTGGGCTATGGCACGAACGCAGCACAAGCACATCCACTGCCAAGGGATGATGCTGTGCATCTTCCAGTCCAGAGGAAACCTGTGATTTCTGGTGACTTCAGGCATACAGCCAGTGACTACACAGAATTTAACAGTTCAAATACGGCCATTTCCACCATTCCTACATCAGTGCTACTTAAAAGGAAATGTTAAAAACCAATTGCATAGGAAGGCACCTGAGGGAATAATAAGGATTTGCATTCCTAACAGTGAATAATGGAAAGGACTTAAAATTTTATCTTCAAAATGCCGTCTCCTAGTCATGCTTTTAACTTCTCACATCAGAGACAAAACGGTGATGGAGGACCAAAAAAAGCCCTAAAATGCTACACTTGGGCAGCAGACAAGCATGAAACATTACCCTGATTAGCAAGGTTTCTACTCTTCTATTGTGAAACCAAGCGACCTTTCAAGTAAGTGAAAATTTCTATGGATCAAAATGAAATGAGGTTACCATTCCTCACTTCTAAATGTGAATGCACTGAACTGCATAAGCCAGCAGGTCAGTAACAGTTTCTTTACTTAGGCAGTTGCACACAAGTTTGAGTTATGGAAACTCCTGCTGTAGCCCTCAGTTTTTGACTGTCAAGTCATGTCAATCCCATCAGTCAATATTGACCCAACTTCTCCTTCTCAACAATCTTCATTTATTCTAAGTTGTAATCCATTGCAGTTTCTATATTGATTTTGTCTCTTTTCATTTTCTTGCTGTTCAGACGGTAAACGTTACTTTTATCCTTCCTAATTCTCTACAAGGACAACAGGGCAAGAACAGAGCTAATGTACTATTGAATTTCCTTCCAGCCTGACGAGAAGACACACAGTTTAAGAACTAAAGGTCAAAATACAAAACATCGCTGAAGTTTTCTGACTTCAACCAAGACCTGAAGACAAATGCTGGCTCGTTGAAACTGTCAGCACATGAATTGACAAACAAGCACTTATGAGAGGGCTTTTTCTTGGGAGGGAGAAGAGAAAGATCTTAAGTGAGTATTTCTAAGGAAGGAACAAGTATTTTCTTATGTATCTCATAGATCACAGACTCACAGAAGGTTTTGGGTTGGAAGGGACCTTAAAGCTCATCCAGCCCCAACCCCTGCCATGGGCAAGGACACCTTCCACTAGAGCAGCTTGCTCCAAGCCCCGGTCTTGAACAGTGCCAGGGATGGGGCAGCCACCGCTCCAGATCACTGTACTTACATGTGCTATACGCAGGCTCACACTGAAGTGACAAGATCTGGATCTTTTCCTCATCTGTCTCCACGTTCAGGTTGGACAGGTACTGCTTCACCTTCCTGGCCATCTGGGCATCCTCATACAGCTTCTTGGCATTCAGGAGCGAGCTGCGCCGGGCCCGTTTTTTGTGAGCACCTCCCTGTACATCCAACATGTTCGAGTTTGTGCTGCCCTGGCTCAGAGACCTACAAGAGACAGGAGCAAAGCAGTCAACTTTCAGTTCTCAACAGCAGCCAAGAGCTGCAGTAGCACACGCCAAAGCAGATTAATGCCAATAATCTTCAGTTAGGGCTAGTGCATGCTGATGCAAATGAGTTAAAAAGATGAACAGCATTAAAACAACACTTGTCTTAAAATACTCTAGGAAACGGAGAGCAGCAATTTGAGTCTAGAAAGAGGGTGTGGGACTAGGAAGAATGAGGCACAATGCTGCATACAGGACCCATGTAACTCTTGCTTGGCAAGACCCACCTATGTCAACTGCAGATGGGAAGAGTGGACAAACCTGATAACTGTGTTGGTTTAAGGAACTTGGTACCCACTGTATGCATCAGCTTACAAGAGAAACCTCTGGCAATTATCTGAGTACACGAGTGACTCCTGTAATCCTCTTAGGAAACTGAGTTTCTGACAGTGTTTAAATAAGAGGGAAAATGTGTTAATTGTGCCAAGTACATTTTATTAAACACTTAACTTCCTTCTCCAGCTCAGTAAGAACATTCGCAGAAGAGCAGCTCATTAATAAAATGTATCCTAGCAAAGGTCAGGAAGACAGTGATAATACAGGTATGTTCCGACTTGCATCTATTGAAATGATGCTCCCAGTACTCCTACTTGTGAGCTGCCAATTCTATCAGCAACTGAAGCAAAAAGAAATAATCCCCAAACTGTCAGCATCCATCACTCTCCCTGACAGTCACTCCTATTCACACCGAAGCAGTGACCAAACAACTGATCTTGGTATACTTCAAACATACCCATCACCTCCACTTCAACTGTCAAAGTCCTTTGGCCACACCAGTCCAATGAATTTTTTAGTCACTGGAGATCACAATGTGTGTTACTGTAAATTCTAATGGGAAGGGTCAAAGTTGTTCAATGTTGGCTGTTTGTGGGGCTTTTCTAAACGTTTGGAGGAGTAACTTCATTTTAAAAGGGTAAATTCTCTGTTTATCAAGATCCCGGATGTATTCAGAGAATCACGAGTGGCAGAATAAACCATCTCCAGCACAACAACCAAGAGAGTCAGAACGAAACATGTTGTTAGAGGAAGTCTATGGAATCAAGCACAGTGGGCTTAAAAATAAGAGATAGTGGGAAACAGCTGACTGCAGGATTCCCAAAGATGAGAACTAAATCAATCCTGGAATACTTTCAAAGATGATCAATCAATCCAAGAGCAAACATAAACCTAAAACTGGCAGAAATTTATAGCTTAATTACAGAAAAATTCTATTACAGGCAAAGAGCAGCAAAAGGCATGAGGGACTGTTCACACCTATTCAAACCAAGGGGCACTCCTACCTCCTCCGGGTAAGAACAGAGCTAATAACTATTATGTGATGAAACAATATACTACATCATGTTTATTTTTAATGGTATAAATATCTGATTGCTTACATACACACTGCTTTTCTTTTAAGTCTGGACTTGCCTTTTTAAGGCAATTTAATCCAATTTCTTTTAGAAATGATTTTTCCCTTATTCCCTTGTGTTCCCAGTAATCCCAAGGGCTAGAAACGACTCCAGTTGGGTCTAAGGCATTCCACCCAGGCGCTGTACACCATGAGTGGGTGCTTACCGACCACCCAAATGATTTCACATCAGGGACCTGCACCCAAACCTGGGTTCCTCTAGCACAAGTTCTGGCACTGTCCCCATCACTGCTGGAGGGTAAATCTGTTCTCTGCACACAAGCGCCTGAATACTCATAGATAACAAACTGAACTGCCACACCGGGCTTCCCTGAGAGTGGCAAAGTGATGGCAGGGAGGGCAAAGCACCAGGAGCATCCCTGACTCCGTCCTGTGGGCACAATGTCAATATACTAACACACAGCTGGCTTTAAAACAGATGCCCCAGTATAAACAGAAGTACAATTTCAAAGTGCAAAGGCACATAGGCTCAGGTACACAGGTAACAGTTTTATGGTCAAAAAGACACATAAGAACACCTAAAATACGGCTACATGTCTTCCTAAAATCACTGCCGTGCGTCTGTCAGGAATTTCATCTCTCAGCACTCTCATTTGTAGTCATTTCATTATTCAATCCTTTCACAATCAAGACTCCCAGGGAAGTCAAGGAGGATTTTGGTGTATGAAATGTCACATACAGTTTATATATATACTAAAAATAAATGCTTTGAAGCTTGAACTCAAACTTCAGGGGGGAAATCACCGTATCATTATCACAATTCATAACGTCCTCATAGTTTAAAATCTAAAACGGCTCAAACCATTCAGTTACATGTTAAAAAAGCAAGTTATTTATTTCCCAAAATAGATTGCCTACCAATATAACTGCACAGCAGGGGTTTTTATATGCATAAAGCCAAAACTCAAATAACTTATCCAATACATAAAAGCAACTCAGAATTCTTATAGCTGCAGTATAACGTTGACTGTAACCTCTTATTCCTGGTTTCCAAAATACATGTATTGCAGGGTTAATAAAATGCATGCTGTATTTCAGATGCATGCACTAAGGAGGAGGATGCAGTATGTTAAGAGTTGCATAATCTTTATTTATCTTAGTTGCATTCATCTCTACACTTACCCCAAACTTCTCCACCTCTTCTTCCTGTAAGCAAGAGCCATATACATTGAAGCATGTATTTGAACAGAAAAGCACAGGAAAAAAATAAAACAGTTGAGAGTCAGGAAGAAAGATGCAGACAGGAAAGAACAGAAAAGAAAGAGTTTCTATACGGCAAAATTGTTCTCAAACAAGAACACGATGTTGGAATGGAATGCAAGGGCAGGACTTGCACAAACACTTCAACACGGAAGAACATCTATCAGTTTTCTGTTTCAAGTTTAACCTTTGGATTTAAAAACCAAGCTCCCATTAAGTTTCCTTGTTAAGTATTTCCCCTAAGTCAAATTCAGTTTGGATGGAGTGAGCCAAAACGGTTCAACTTATTCAAAGTGAAGAAAGTGTGCTCCAATTAATTTGCTCTTCGCATTAGGACTGCAGTAAGCACATGAGAAACCATCAGTATTCAAGTTTATGATGCTGTTTTCCCTTGACTGCTTGCTGGAAAACAAGCTAGTCACCAAATACATGCTGAAAAGTAGATGCTCTATATTAATCGGTAATGAACTCGCCAGCAAGTCTCATGTTGCCACTAACAAACATCTTTTCTTGTTAATTTTTAATCTTCAAAAGCATTTATTGGTGCTTCAGAACACAAACTGATAGATCAAACACCAGAGGCAATGAAAATGAATATAAATGATGTTGAAAATGTGGATTTATTTTCTTTTAATCTTTGGCACTATCTCTGGTATTAGATGCCTGAGCATTTTATGTCAGTGTGCATCCTTTAAATGATGGTCATTAAAATGTGTTGTGTAATTGTGAAAAACACACTAAAGCTAACTATTTACTATTAAATTCATCTAATGATCAGACTTCATTAGGTTGTAGAAAGTGTATGGGGCAACAGGGAAATTTATTTATAGACTGATTTCATCTGTGAATGGGAAAGATTCTGAAAAGCAATCCTAACTGACCAGTAAGTAGCTGTATAACTATGTTGAAGAAGGAATTTGCTAATTCAAATCCAACAGTATGAAGGTGAATCTCCACTGTGAAACAGATCCATCTTCAAACAACATTAACAAGGGATCTGTTATTTTTGTCTCAAAACTCAACTGGGGCCTTTTTAAACAAAATGCCTTTATTTCCTGACAGTCAGCCTTGCAAACATGATTCACCATCACCTGTGAATCCTGACCTCTGGAAGCCCACAGGGAGCCAAATCTCAATGCTCTTATATATGCCACGTACCCTTGCATATGATATTTCCTTCCGCTGCACTGATGTAACTGACTTCATAAATCCAAGAGGATTACAACTCAGAGGTGACCTATCGACTGGAATTTAGTTAGGGCTTGTACAAAGTTCAGTTTTTGGTATGTGATTCGGCAGAGCCCATCACCTTGTCACCAACTCCTCTCCCCAACTGCACCCCGAAGGATTTTTGTCTGGCCCATTAGTGCAAGACGCAAACTCCAATGCAAGGCACCACTACCCTCCTTAGCAGGGATGTGCAGGCATCAGGACCTGCATGGACACAGGAGAGTCCCCGATGCTTTTCAAGGAATGCAGGACATTATTTAGCTCCACTGAGTATAAACTGGAGCTCACGAGCACCGGATTAGAAGCTGTGGTGCTTTCATTCCCCAGTTTGCCAACACGGAGCCTGGTGATATTATGCATCAGGAGAAAAAACAAACCCCAAGAAAAAATAAACCAAGCAAACCCCCTTCACTGCTTGCAGCCTGAACATATCACACAGTACGTAGGTGGAGCAAGCTGTGCTTAGAACAAATAAAAATACTTTGTTTGGGTTTAATATGTTATCAGTGGGGTTTTGAAGCAGCGTTTCAGACGTATACATGGCTGATTTAGGTGCTTTTTGTATCTATCATATAGAGATGTTATATCCCCCTAATATTATACCTCTCCCAAAACTCTACTAACACTAACATTTTATTTAGCAAAAATGTGAATCATTAAACCTAGAACCTACTCTTCTTTCGTTATTAAAGACAGCAAACTGGTTCAGTGGTTATTAAAAGCAGGTCTCGGAAGCATCAACTGTATTGCCATAATTTGATCAAGATTGTGGTTCTGATGTACATGTCAATGGGAAGTTGCACCATGAAACACAAAGGCACTGATGCACACACAGCCCCAGTTCCCCACCCAGCCCAGACACCTTCAATCCTACTGCAAAGTGCACACCTTTGTCTGAACATCACGGCCGGATCCATGTTTGCTGAGGTCATTCGGACAACTTGGCGAATTTCCTTGGCAATCATCCGGAGCTTCTCAAAGTTCACCAGGCCATCCACTTTGGAATCATTTCCTAAAGAATGGAATCACACACATAAGGAAAGAAAGGAACAAAAAACAAAGTCAGAAATACTTTCTAACAGGCAATGTGTTTCTAGGCACTCACAGTATCCGCTCCCTGTCCCTCCATCACCAAAACCGCCCTAATGGCAAAACACAAATGATCATTAGGTCCACTCTAGTATTGGTTTTGTTAATCTATTTCTAAAGTAACAAGTGTTAGCAAGAGGAAAAAGGAGTAAGTGAATTATGCCCAAATTCACTGGCATAGATGCTTAAATAATGTATAGAATCCCAGCCTGGTTTGTGTTGGAAGGGACTTTAAAGTTCATTCAGTTCCCAACCCCTGCCATGGGCACGGGCACCTTCCACTAGAGCAGCTTGCTCCAAGCCCCTGTGTCCAATCTGGCCTTGAGCACTGTCAGGGATGGGGCAGCCACAGCTTCTCTGGGCACCCCGTGCCAGCGCCTCAGCACCCTCACAGGGAAGAGCTTCTGCCTAATAGAACTGACATCCAACAGCATTCACATTCTGAAGTTAGTCCAAACAGCTCTGAAACATCACAACCAGGAACTGGGTGTATTTGGCAATGCTTAAACTTAACCAGTTGTGAACAGAACCTTGTGTAAAAGGAACAAAATGGAAATGTTTAAACAAAAGCCACTGAAACCACTGAAAGCAGGAGTAGGAGGTGTTAGATCACTGTAGCTGCCTGAAAGCCACAACATGGAACGAAATCCTAGAAACGCCACAGCAACGAGCTCTTGTAAGAGGAGTATGTACTTGAAGTAGTGTAACTACCAGTTAGCACTCACCTACTGTTCCACCTAAACCTTTGGACACCTGATGAAGATTAAGCATTGCTTTTAAAATATTAAAAATATACTTTTAATTTTTAATTTCTGTCTAGGAACAGCCTCTTCCATTATTCATGCACAGATCTATTTTGTTTTACTCCTACAAAGGACGCATCAAAAGCATCCTACTGGTGGCAGCTTCTTTCAAGCATCTGTTGAATCAGGGCTAAAGCATATTCAGTGCTCAGTTTGTTATTTCTCTTGCGTCTGACATTACCTTCATGCAGAAAGGTGATATCCTTCTTGACAACGGGAAAAAGTGGAATAATTGGAGGCTGCATGCTCTGGCTGCTGAGGATGTTGCGGTATTTTGCCATGTTTCGAGATGGATCAAAGAGATCTTGAAGGTCTCGGAGGTGCTTTTCGTACTTGCTTGGTAACTTCTCCCAAGTGCCTCTGAGACGTGCTACTGGTGCTAGATTTAACCCACTGGAAGGCAGATTTGTTTCATTATTAGCTGTTAGTGGAAACATTACCTTTCAAAAGGAAGCAAAGGGTTTGGGGTTTGTTTTAAGGATTAAAAATAGCTTTTCACAAGGCTAACTGTAAGGCTGGGTGAAAGCCAGGCTGCAAGCTGATCACAATAAACCTCTGCTGCTCGCTCTTGTGAGCAAGAGAAAGAGAACTGTAAAAACCACGACTGCTTCCTATTCACAAGGTACCAGTTTTTAGTTAGCCTGCCAAAACAATCCCTCCGTAACACAGGGCTGGTGCCCGTTTAATTTAAGCCCCACTTCTCTCCTGTAAGAACGTGTACCACAATAAGACAAAAGGGTGGAGAATTAATGAGGTGAATACACAGCTACAGTGGCAAGCAAGAACAGTGCACAGCTTATCCCAAGCGAAAGAGGCAGGATTGCAGAGGACCACGTTTGGAGCATTTGTAAATGAGCACCAACAGACTGAGAATCGGAAGCTGCAGCAATGCTAAAACTTGTCATTGTGCTCCCTCATTAAGTAAAAACACATCCAGAATTAGCTGGATGTGATACAGCAAATTAAAATGAAGGAAACGGATCCATCCTCCCTATTAGGATTTGCCACCAAGTTTGCTCATGAAATTCTGCAATGATCACCTTGTCGCTGAGCTAGAAAGCATCATTTCCTAGCATTCACCAGTAAGTCCAGGATCACACAATTGACAAATCTGCTACTCTAAGGTTTTGAAAGCCTCAGAAACTTACTTTGTATTTACTTTATTCTTTTATAGAGATTTCTCCCCATGTTATTGTCAAATCACAAACAAAGCCTTCTCTCACATGAAAAATCAAGCATATGCCACCACGCAGCCCCCCTCTCTTTTACATGCTACATTAGGATGGTTATCTTTGTATTTCATGAAACATATGGCACCGTATTGATATGCAAGGCAAGGCAAGAAAGAAAACCCCCCTGGCATATGCTAACAAAAACATATTCCTCTGGAAACCAGGGCAAGACAAAACCTAACTTACTGACTTCTTTTTATGACCAACGACCACTTCAGTCACGGCATGATTAGAGTTAACTGAGAAGCAGGAAGAGTCACTTCTCCACCCACAATAAACGACGAGGAAATAGGGAGCAGAATATAGAAATTAGATTCACTATCCACATGTATATTCACCATGTAATGAGAAGCCCCAGCCCCAACGGCTGCCCAGTGCCCTTTAAGGAGATTCATTCATTATTTAATGTATGACTAAACAGAAGGCAACAGCATCCAAGAACCTGGCTCGACATGGAAGAAAACAGTTAAAACTGGTGTTCTCAAAGATGCTGGGATACAGCAAGAATCCAAATCTTTGTCTGATGAATCATAGCACCTTTATTTTTCTTTCTTAAAAGCTGGGTATAAGATAACTACAAAGAAAGGAAATGCTGAACTCATGCTGTTAAAGTAGCAGCATCCAGTATAAAACAGAAGAGAAAGTCTGAGTGTGCAAATGGAGAGGGAAATAAAAATAGATTTCCCTATCTAATGATAGGAGCAGATGACGGGAAAGATTGGAAAGGAAAATGTAACTAAAACCAGAGTGACTGAGGAAGTCCTTACAATGAAGGGAAGAAATAAAGTAATCTCATAATCACAGGTACGACACGGTGCACACTGACACGGCAACAGCAACTGAGCAAAGAAGGGAAATGGGGTGCCAGCATGGAAATGACAGCAGTGCTCAGGCAGGTTTCTGAAGTTATCAATCAAACACTGCTCTTGTCCACCTCTTCTCTTCCCCTGCTAGGTAATGGTTAAAATAGAGACAGTCACATCAAGCACCACAATACACTAAACTTCCGAGGAGGAGGAAGGAAAAGATGGCAGCGACAATGCACCTCTTGGTACAGTCTGCCTTCTGAAAAGCTTGGCAATTCCCCTCCAACCACCCTGTGCCATCAGTGATCTGTTCAGCATAAACCTATTTCTTTTCTTTCCAGTTCGATTATCAGAATTGCCTTTGACAGCACAAACCAGATCTGACAAATGCAAGCATTTTACCTTATAACTGCGAACATGGAATTGAAGTTCTTGCATTCTCGGCAATGGAGGGCAATTTTAATGAAATGCTTAATAATCTTCATCCTCTTGAGTTGGTTGGGCTCTGCTAAAATTTCCATGGCAACCCAGAAGGTCTCCTGATTGATGACATCCTCAAACTGTTTCAGGTGAGCATTCCCTGTCTTGGAGTCCAGCTTATAAAGGTCATCGATGTATTCTGTAGGCTCAATATTGCGGAAGAGTTCAAAGTCTCTCATGGAGAGCTGAGTGGCGACCTCAATGGTGCTCAGCTGCAGGAGGGAAATCTGGCTTTCTCTAAGCAGCTCTTGAGCATCCTCGTCGGAGCACAAGGTCTCTGTCTCCATATTGTTTTTAAGATAATACCTACAGAATAATGGAGTTACAATAAAACGTTAGAGATGTGCTTCAGAGGGTTTGGGAACACAAAGGCATTGGACTACACCACTCAAAGTGGACACCACTGGAGTGCTTGTGTGAGAGTATTTGTGTGCTCCTGCTGACAACACAGTGTAAAAGGGAAAGACAGAGACACGAAGGGACAGCATAACCTTGCACTTTAGTATAAGGTATCATCATTACTGAGGTAAAAAAACATTTCCAAAGCTGGTTTTATCTACCTCTTCACTAGCAACTTCTGTTTCATTCTCCATAATACACTGCATCTTTCACCCTTGGAAAATGCTCAGTTACTTTGACATTCGTAAATTCAGCAGTGAAGTAACATTTTAAATACACATAAGTCCTGAGACATCTCTTGTTAATGTATTTCTCCATTTCTCACACAAATTTAGTGCGATTTCTTACATAAATAGTGTGGCATATTACTATTTACATGAAGCACACAGTACTGAGGAAATGAAAACGTATCTGGAAAATTCATTTCCGTGGTCCCAAGCAGATCACTTTCAGGTACACCAAAGTTTTTTCCTCATAAATCCCCTCTGTTGCCTAGCAAAGACAACTAAAGAATTTTTTACTTAATAAACTTTCTTCTGGTATAGACCAGGTCATCAGATAAAACCAAAGCACTTAACGGGCAAGAAACATTCGTAACAGTTTACATAGAAATGGAAGCATTTATCTCAGGTTAGCATCAGTTCACTGCAACATGACATCACTGAGAAAGAAAGTAATTGTATGTTTTAATCCTGAGTACATGTGGAAAGTGTCAGAAAAGATGTTTCTCCTTTTTCAGTGTAAGCCACTACACGTTATCCCAAACTGCTATATTTAGTTGTCATCGAGCAGCTGCTGTAGATCTGGGGAGGGGGTTTTGGGTTCACCAACACTGGACACTGTTAGGATTCAACTGGACTGTGCACTGGGACATACAGTCTAGGTTATGCTTTGCCCACAAAGGTTGGACCAGCCGATCCCTGAGGTCCCTTCTAATCTGGTGTTCTATGATCCCCCCCCGAATGGGATGGGATCTTACAGATGTTTCAATGCTAAAAAGCAAACGAATCCAAGCTGAAGTTAAAACAAGGCGCGTTTTTACCGTCCATTGAGTTGAATCCTGTCGGCCAACTTGGAGAACTGATCGGGGAGCCTCCGCTGTTTGATGACCCCCTCGGGGCTGACTGACACTTCGCAGAGGGAGTAGGTCTCAGGGGCGCCTGTCAAGTTGAACTCGTGGACGGCGTGACTCACCACCTCTTTTGCTGTAGTGTCTTTGCTGATGATAATGTAACAGCTCTGCTGATCGGCTTTGAAAACCCTGATTACCTGATCGGGAATATCTGAAATAACAGAGTAACACCTTCAGTGTGTGAAGTTACTTTTCCCTTGCAAAGAAATGAGGTCATTTACTGCTTCTTTTGATAGCCAGAAAACAAAAAAACAGCTAGCAGGGGGGGAAAAAAAGCCATGCTGGCCTTGATAAATATGCATTAAAACATTCAGCTTTGAGAAGCAAACAGGACTCCCTGCATTTCCACAACTTTAGGATCCCACAACCGCAATTGAAGTACAAGGCTCCTAGACACACTGCTAAGCTGCACACTGTCCTTCGCAGCGTGTCTCAGAATCCTTGGCAGCATCATTTATTCCTTCTTTGGCTCTTTTGTCTTTGCGAGACACGTGCCAGGGCACTCTTCCCGGGGATGGGAAGCCATGGAGCATGCATGGATGGGCTGCGGGCAGGAGGCTGGGAAGAGCAAAGGAGATTTGGTTGTTCCCATAACTAGCTGCAAACTTTTACATTCACTATCTCACCCTGAAGGAACTAAGCTGCTGCCAGCAGTTAATTCTTTGGCTAGTGTACTTATTTATAGCACATTTCATGTATTATAAATGCATTAGAGAGCAGCTTTCTCCGAGGCAGCCTACAGCAGGAAATAAATATGTGAAGAAACACACGTTTCATCTACAGCTCCATGACTGGAAATAATTCGCTCCATTACAGCAGATTTGATTTTCATAATAAAAGTGATGGGGAAATCAAGTCAGGAGGCAGAGTGCGCACTGATTTAAAACTCAGGGAAGCAGTTTCCTACCCTCCCTAAACTCTGAAGACTAAAACCTCACCAGTTCTCTGCAGAGGCGAGAAGATGGGAGGCTCTGGCTGAGCCCTCAGCCTTCTCCAGAGCCTGATGCTATTCAAAAACCAGTTTGGATGTGCCATTAACACCCGGATCAGCAATTCCAAGTGAGAGAAGTGAGGAGCTGTTATTACAGCAACAGCCTCCAAAACAGTTTCCACCCACTGGAAAAAAGAAAGTCCCAACATCACCTGTAGCTAAACTGGGAGATGGGACGAAACAGGGTGCTTAAAAACCCCAATCTGATTGAAAACAAATTCTACTGACAATTTCATTTTTATGACTATCCCATTCCCAGAGCAGTCTCATTAATAGCTGAGGACTAGTTGAAACTGAAAAGCTCCATGCATACATGAACGGGGGCAATAAAAGACAGAAATATGTACTTATTTGAGAGTGAAAGTAATGAAAATGATATATAGAATAACTGGAAATGCTGCACTCATAAAAATCATAACAAGACAACAGAAGAGGCCAACATCTGTACCTTGGTATCAACATACCTAAACATCAGAACACACTCAAGGTAGAAAACCAAAAACTGAAGTGTAATTTGGGGGGGGAAAGGAAAAAAGACAAAACCCAACCAAAACTGAGTGTAACTTCTGACAGCTGAGGGAAATTTCTATTATGAACACGTCTGTCTTTGCTTTTAAGCAGGTGAACACTCTCTATATATAGATATATACATATACATAATCATTTTCTTCTGCATTATTCAGCTTGTGTTGACAATACAAAACACATTTCAAGTTTGCATGCACATGGTTTTAGTTACACAGCATCCAATGGAACAGACATGATCTCAAACTACAGCATCATCTAAAATCTCAGTTCCATGAAAGGGACATAAGCAACTTCATTCCTCAAAGCAAGGTCACAGAGAAGCAAAGGACACTGCCAAAGGTCATCAGCGTGTTGGTGACAGAAATGGGAATAAAATGCAGGTCTCAGCCTCAGCACAGCACCATGCCTGAAAAGAAAACCTATGGGTTTGTTTGATTTAAGGGAAGATTATGGGGCAAAGGACTATCTTAATGCCCTAACAGTAATAACATTGTCAACACAACGTATGAAAGTGTTAAGTTTAACAGGCAAGCCATGCAGTATTAAGGTCTACAGGATGCTGTGCATCAGGATACTTACAGTAAAACCCAACAGCTGCGGGCAGGAGAAAAGAAAACACCACGTCAGCACCAAATCAAGATCTAGATGTTTACAGAACTGATCAAGTGTATGCAGTGCACTGTCACAAGTACTTTGGTTTGCTCTGCTCTTCAAAAGTGACAGCATATTTGTTATAGTAAACATATAGTAAACGTAAAGTAAAGGATTAGTTATCAACATTTGATACTCTGCAGTAACTTGTATAATATTAAATGAAGATTCTTAGAGAACATGTGTGTGACTCTCACGCAGACAGCAAGAACCCGGATTTTCAGCACAAAAGGGAACCTAACTCCTATGGACATTTATGCAGTTGATCGGATGTATCTGCATACATCCCTTTTAAAGGGGAAACCTGCAAGTTTACCCTACCTCATAGCCACAAGGCACTTTACAGAACATGTATTTACACACAGAACTTACACTTGAAATAGGGAAACATGATTCTGACTTGCCAGGTTTACAGGCATGTAATAAATGCCTCCTGCAGCCACTATATAAACTGTTCCTACAGTAACAGCAATGAGAGCCCAAACCACACATCCCAAAACATCTTGCAGTTTTTCAGGCATACAGTATGTAATGTTTGACATTGTATGTAAGACATTAACATCACTCTTGTTACCACGGCAGTCCTATTCCATCCACAATACTGCTTGAAATATATATTTGAAGATGATGGATGGACAAATCAAATCATCTGGAGTACCAGTATTGAGAAGAGATGACAAAAGAGAAAGGTGCAGACAAGGACACTGCTTCCATCAGAGCTTTGGTAAACTCCAGTAAATCAAAGACTCTCAGAGGTAGCAAAATACACTCCTTTGTGAAAATAAGCTAAGTGTCGCATTACAAAAAACCTCCAGTCTGGACCTGTTAGAGCCACAAGATAAAGAGATAACTGCACTCAGTGTGTTTGATGCTAAAAGATGTAAAAGATGTCATTTTCCCCCTGAACCGCTGCCTTGTAATGATCCTGTAAATCAAGCTAATGCTGCTGGTTTACCTGAAGGATTAGAGAAATCCAGGATGCTAGTTGTAGGCTGCAGGAGGTCGGGGCTGCTGGAGGAGAGGGTTCCCGGAATGGGCATGATGGCCAGGCTGTGCCTGCACTGCCGCGTTCCAACAATGCTGTCGTCCTGCGACTGGCTCACGCTCCCGTCGCTGCAAAAGAGGTTGGGTTCAATTGTGGGCATTAAGCTCCTTAGATTCATCTGGAGGTGAATCTAAGAAACTAAGAAAAGTAATGGCACTCAGATGTGTTACTTGCACACTGCAGACAGGCTTTCAGAACAAGGAGACAGAAAAAGCATATCTGAAAGTGTTCAAATGGTCACTGGTCTTGTCCTGCACTTAGGGGTCAGATTTGCAGTTTAAAAAACATACTTAAAAAAACCCAGTATAAGCAATATGAAGCTAATGACTGGAGATACTCAGCAACCAAAGTATCACAACTTAGTAAGGAATGACTGCTTTGGGACCAGAAGAAAGTGACAAACCTGAAGAGTTTTGGAGGCAAGATGCTGAATCGGGTCTTGTCCAAAATTTTCCTGATTCTGTTTCTCCCACCAGACACAGTGTTTGCTTTCATCTTCTTGTTGCTTTTTTCACGGGGAAACATCTGTTCCACATCTCCAGGCATATCTGGGATGGAGTAACGGTTGTTCTTCTTCTCTGCGATTTTGGGAATATGTGGAATTCCGTTCTTCTCTTGTCCTATCCTGCAGAGCAGCTCCTTAAACACTGTAAGAGAAGACACAGTCATTGTGATTGCCCTTTGCACACTTAAAACTTCACAGCCACTTCTTCTTTCCTTTCAACCCTTCTGCTTCCCACATCCACGCAGTTAAAGTGAGCCAGAGAGTTATAAACCAGGCAATACATTGCATTTTAGCTTTGATTCTAAGGCTGTGAGTCTTTCCCCATTTAAGCTTTGCTTTTGATTACCTCAGCAGAAAGAGCAGTCCCCTTAATGTTCCATAAAACAATCAAATCAGCACGTATCACAGCAAATTGAACAGACCTGGTCTGCTGTTTCCAGGTAGATTATAAGGAAACATCATGTTCATGGCAATCAGCTCTATGTATTTATTGCCTGTGTTGTCTGCAACTTTTACATAATGGAGTGCAGATGCTTCTGCAAGGATAACTGCAAGGCAGACTGATAACTCTCCAAACTCCCTTTATTTGCTTTTAGCAATGCTACTGAACAGAAGCTGCATCAGATCTCCTATTGCAATTATCAAGGTAAGCCAGTCTATTACCCACACTGACATCCCAAAGATCAAAGTTCATGGAGAAGACAGTGGCTATGTCCTTTGTATTTCTTCCCACAAATGAATTAAACACAAATTGATCCAATTGGTTTATTAATTCTAATTATTTCTTTAAAGATCTTTTCAAAAATCTTTTTCAATCACTTAAATCAGAAATGCAGGATTTTCTCTTGTAAACATGGGCATCCTGGGAGAATGCAGAACCCTACAGAGGAAATTACTCAGACTGCCCCTATGAGTAAAACAAGCAGGACTTTCTGTATTGAAAATCCCAGTCAAATTCCTTATTTCTATCATGTAATAGAATTTGAAGGCTACCAGCTTCACAGTACAGATTCAAATATAAGAACAGGAATTGCTCCTTGTCATCACCAGGCGCTTAGCACTCAATTAAAAAGACAGGATAATAATTATCACTGTTGACAAAAGCTTCAAGACATGAATCCATTCAAATTTATCAGAGAAACCCCTTTGCAATTACAGCAGGTAGCACAAAGCTATTAGAACCCATTGTCAATGTATGCTGCTTACATTTATAATACAAATGAACCATCTATCCCTATCTGCTTTATTTTATGTCATTTCACATGATTCTGGACCATCAGTTACAGTGGGGTTTTAGGCCTTTTGGAATGAAAAAGCAACTGCTCAGACCTTGAAACTTTTTACCTGCACTGTCATAAACAGGAAGTAATAACTGAAAAGAAAACCAATAGTGACTAAAGGCAGGTAACTAAGGGAAGAAAGTAAGAGAAGGAAACCATCAGGAAGTCTCAGATACAACTACAGAGGACGGAGCTATCTTGGGTGCAGCCTCCTTCTTTCTGTAGCTATGGTTATTCTGTTGCCTGAAGGGGATTATGGAAACAGAACAGATGAGTTGACTGAGATTTTAAAGAGGTATTTACGTGTTTATATTCACACTGACAATTAAGAGCCAGCATTTCTATGTCCTATCACTTTTTATATCCCCTTTTCAATTTACCCTATCATTCTTGCAGCCATTATAAAAACATTGACAAAGCCCAGTTTCACATTTTTGCTGGGTCTTGGCAAAAAAATCTTTTGGTCCGGATCCCTTGGCTCTGTTTCAGCCCTATCACACGAAGGGACATTAAAGCTGCTGAAACAGCCATTTGGGACTCCTCAGGGAGTACAGAGCTGCCCATGGCTGGCTTTGTGCCACTCAACGTGCAGCCCCTGGCACATGAGAACTTCTCCGAGGAAACGGAGGCACAATGAGGGGACTTCTCACTCCTGGAGTGAGGCTGAGAAAGAAAGGTGGAATCTTAATGCACTTCTAAAGCCAGAAACACAGGAGTTTTCCTCACATACACAAAAATACATCATATATAAAGTCTACTCACCAAAAATGTTTGTTTTCACAGTGATGGAGAGGTGAGTGTTGTTCCGTAAGATCTCCAGAGCTTTTACAAAGGTAATGTTCTCAAAATTCTGTCCATTTACTTCCATTATCTTTAAGAAGAAATAAAGATAGGGACTATTAAGAGAACAACTTGTAACAGACTTATAAATACAAAGGTGACAATACAGGCACAGTGAGAACTTTCTAGAAGTTAACACAACATCTTTACAGCAGTTGTAGGATGAAAACATTCCTTGGAAAATAACTAGCTTCATCATGTCAGTGAAGTTACATCCTGTGCCCAAGCCAGGACCTCCAGTTCTACCTGACAAATGCTTTAAATACATTTATTTTCTGTCATCATCTTCCAATTGGGAACTGCAACTGAATCAAAAGTAGTGGATCATGAACCATGCAGCTGATATTTCATCTAAGGCTGGATGTTGTGGCTGCCCCATACCTGGCAGTGCTCAAGGCCAGGTTGGATGGGGCTTGGAGCAAGCTGCTCTAGTGGAAGGGGTCCCTGCCCATGGCAGGGGTTGGAACTGGATGAGCTTTAAGGTCCCTTCCAACCCAAACCATTCCATGATCTTCACCTAAAGTGAACTGCCATTGCTCCATCAGCCTCAGTGAACAGCGATGGTCCACACAAGGTGGGAACTGATCCAACAAACCAATCTGATGGCTTCAGATTAACCATATCGCCGATCAGAAAGTTCCCTCAATTAACTACAATTTGGTTGCTTTTCCCATTCTGGTTTTGAAATACTTTGAAAACTACTTTAAAGAAACCCATTTAACACATGCAAACCGGAGCTGAACTGTGCCATTCACCACAGGATGCCAGCCAGTTGTTTGCTTTTCACGTTGAACAAGAGTATTTTACATGAACTTCATTCTTTTTACCTGGTCTCCACGTTTAAGCCCAGCTTCTGCTGCTTTACTGCCCATTTCCACAGTCTCTACAAAAATACCAAACCCTTTGTCGCTTCCTCCAAGGAGGCTGAAGAACAGAGGCGAGTCTCTAGAAGGTTTCTGCAGGGTAATCTGTCTCCATTTGGCTTTGGCAGCACAGGCAATATTCAGCAATCTGAGATGGCCTTTCATTTTCTGCAACACAGGAGAAAGCAACAAAAAACTGAGCTCTATTTCCCTAGAAATGGAAAAAACAGTTGTGAAAAACACCCCAAGTGCCAGAAAAAGGAGATTTTGATGCCATGCAATCAAACCTTGCTAAATAAACCACATAAATGAGTGCCCTGTATACTATTTTATATGGGCTTTATATCTAAATACATAAGAACAACTTTGTCCACGTTAAAAGCAACCTATTGAAGACTCCAATGTGTTAGTCACTGGCAACACGCTGGCAAATGAGGAAGCGCACTCTTAGGACGTACGACCCCCTTCTATTTTGCCCCTACCGTATCTTCCAAGTTCTTTTCGAATTCCTCCAGGAATCGAGTCATAGCAGGATCTCCTTCAAAGTCATTAAAATGATTGTTCACCCACAGCAAGACCACTCTGGTCACCTGGAAAAAGAAAATCCCAAATCATATACATACATACATACATACATACATACATACATATATATATATATATATATATATATATATATATATATAAAGGTACCCATGATTCTTCTCCTATAAACTTTAATCTTCTAGATTAACATAGAATAACATATGACAGATTACTGTGTCTGTTCCAAACAGAAGCAGAAGACATTTACAGTTGAAATCATCTTCTCTCTTCCTTTCACGGTAGGAACAAATCATATGCCTAATTGTCTCCACCACCCAGTACTTACTGGTGCACAATTCCACCTTCTAAATTAACTCTTCCTTATGCTGTTTATAAAACTTATCTTTTCAAAGCATCCTTATGATCTCCTTAAAGAAAGTTCTAGGAAGTAAGCTCTGATAATAGAAACTTTCAGTTATATCTTCCAGTTGCTTTCCTATGTGCAACAGTTACTACCGTTCGCTATAAATATTTTATCCACCCACATGATACAAAGGTTGGTCTATAGCAGTTTCTCTTCTAAAAAACAAACAATTTCCTCTTTATTTGCTGAGACAGTTTTCCTTTCCTTTTCTTAACAGACAGTAGTGCCAAGATGAACAGCACGCAAAAAGGTAAGAAGAGAAGCAGTACCCACAGTAAAAGACCCCTGACAACTTCCTACTCAAAGAAAGACAGCATTCTGACAGTCTGTTGGGTTTCCTTCAGCTCAAAGCTAGAACACATAAAACCACTGGCAAGGAATTTTACTGCCATCACGTTCAACAAATTGGACAGGGATGTAAGTCCCAAACCGTGAACAGTTTTCATGTGTATGTGCATGGATACATAGCAGTAGAACCTGGTTCTATTTATGGAACCAGATTTTATCAACTGTCTTGAGCAGAGTTTATTTTATGTACAGAGTTTGCAATAAGCTGCTCAAATAAAATGTGCTCAATACACTGAAAAGCTCTGCAATAGAACATTATGGGAGACAAGCATAACGCTGTTCAGAAAAGAAAGAGGGTATGTCCAAGAGTTCCCTGAATATCTGGTGAAAAGGGATTTCAGAGACTGGCATTTAGATCTTTAACTTAAACAGGAACAGTATTTATCACTCTGCAGAAGAGAAGAAGTGTCAAACCTAATTTAGGATATTACATTATACACATACAACACACTGGAGAATCCTGTCTTGATACCAGTGAAAAATACTTTGCTTTAGAACAGTTCATATAAAATAGCTGGAGCATAATCCTAGTATATCATCAATACAAAAGGGAATCTCTTTGGAGACATTTTCACCTGAAATACTCTACTCTCAGACTCAAACTGACCTTATCCCTGAGGCTGTCCACTGTGAACCATTCCAGGAGTTTATTCCCAACTTCCAGGGGGCTTGTCAGGAACGTTCTGTACGTTAGAAGGAAGTCTTCGATGTAGGTTGGATCCACAATTGAATGTTCTTCTATTAAGTGCATGATGAGTCGCTCAGGTGTTGCCTTAAGAAATTAAATGCAAAACATCACTGGTATCTCTCATCACTACCTCTCCCTAGAGAGTATGTGAACGTAAAACCATATGAACATTACACTCCCTTTTGGCATTTCACTTATGGCAAAGTCAAGAGAAAACATACTAATGTGTTTAAGTAAGTCTCTGTGCTGCTCTCAGCCCTAATGTTTTGCACAGGTAATACCTGAGACGAACAAAACTGAGTGTGTGCTCTAGATTCAAACCAAAATTGCATTTATTTACTAACAAATAAGGGTTAAATAGATAGATGGAAAGCACAGAAAGAAACTCACCTTGATAACTATGTGTCCTTTCCTGGTTCCACTGCGATCCAGCTCCCTGTGCTCCTTTACCATCACAATTTCTCCTTCTTCCTCCACTTTGTGAGTGTTTTTTTCCACGTGGTTCAGAATCCTCCAGTAGTCTTGCTGGGCTATACACACAAACTGCCCCCAGACAACACGGGGTTGTTAGTAACTACCCAAACCATGAATGTAGCCCCATCTCTGGGCTGCTTCAACACAGTCACAAAGGCATTTAATACCAAACCTGGCCTGTTTTGCCAACTACATCAGAAAGTTAGAATAGGAGACAAATAGAACTGGTCACCTGCTTACAACTCCAAAGGTGGTTCAAGTGGGCTAAACATGTAAAGGAGAAAGCCTCTAAGAAGTGGAAATGGGTATTTTCAATTTCTCTGCTCTTACTGCATGTCAATCCCATGCACAGCATGACTGGGGTGGACTCAGCTTATATTTCAAATTCCTGTTTCTCATATAACAGCAGCATGAAATACATCTCAGGCACTACAGAGTGTACAACTAACTCAACATCAACAGGGCCCCTGACCCAGAACAGACCAACCTCCTTTTTAATGCTCCTGGAATGAAGATCATGCCTCAAGATCCAAGTAGTCTGTTTCCTTTTATTAAAGGCTTAAGAACAGGAGATAGTTGTATAGAACTGCATCTTACCTGACAATCATCTACTTTGGTTCTGACCACTCCATTCATGTACTGTTTGTCCAGAGAAGGAGTAATCCCAAAACTATTTCCCATACAGAGACTCTCACTCTTCCCATCAGGATAGCTGATTTCCACTGTGCCATTTAAAATAACATACCAAGAATCGAGCTGGAGGAAGTAAAAAGAAAGATTTCAAAAGTGAAGCTAATTCAACAACTTTTAGAAGCTGTTCCAGTGCTCTTATCTCAGAAAGGCTTATTCTTGTTGTCAGCTGAGTTTTGCAACATGTCATTCACTAAAAGGGTGCACTGTACGGCAAGCAATGAAGATGACTGAAACAGGAACGCTTTTCAGCGTTCTTCATTCATTTCACAACTAATTCAGCAGGGAGGAATGCTGATGAATAGATTGCTTTTTTAATCAGTGGGCTAATTGCTACAATACATTTATACCATTTAGCGAGAATGAACACTCGCCCCCTGGGTACCCATTTGGTCACTACGAGAGATGAGAGCCTACCTCCTCCTCTTGGAGGGGTGACCTGCTGTGGTCATTCCAGACATCTTGATGCAAGGACAGTCAGGGATTTCAAGACAGTGATTCAGAGTGCTACGCTGAGAGCCTGACCACTGACTAATTTGGGCATCCTCCTACTGAATATGTATGGAAACTGCTCCTAATACACAGGCAGTAACACAGTAATACACAGGCAGAATCCCCCAAAGGGATGGGCTAAGGTTTAGGTATTTTGGATATGGTAAGAGAAGAATTCTCTAACTTGCAAGTGTGGAAGAGGTGCAACAGATTTCCCAGCCATTCACCCTCACAAACCCTTGCTAACCCACTGCCTGCGTTGGAAGCAGCAACTTACTTCTTGGCCGTCTTCAAGTATGATGGCTCCTGCTTGCTCTACTACTTCGAATATCATCACTGAGCAAAGTTCTCTCCTCACAGACATGGTCATGTTTGCAAAGGCAGGGAGCTGATGCATAAATTCCAGTAATTGCTCTGTTAGACAAAGGAGACGTTGGTAGGAAGACTGCAAGGCGCAGGGGTTCCTTAGACACCCTACCCTGCACAGGTGGATTAAACCTCTATTAAACACGTTAAAATTGCTCAGTGGTGTCACAGCTCCCATTAGTGCTGCTGGCTAAATGAGCCCAGTATGCATTTTGTCATCAAAGACCAGAACCTCACTCCACAGTCCCTTGATTGACTTCCATGGCAGCAATCTAGCTGAGTGTAAAAAGTACTTCAGCTTCAAACATTAAGAAAAATTGAAAACACCCTTATGGTACAGTAATTACAAGCTTGATAGGAGCTTGAAATGATTTTCCAGTGTTTAGAGAAGTAATCTCAAGTATAGCTTAATACAAATTTTACTATTAAAACTAATGCCAATTTCTAGTCAAACACTGCAGTAAATCATTTTAATCTCAAACATTTTGCCCTTTACAATTAAGTGTATCTGTGCTGCAGTACTAGTATGTTCTCTCTGCCATTTAATAATTAATTCAACCATTTCAGGCAGTTAAAACTATCTTGCTACCAATTCCTCCCTTATATCAACCCCTACAATGACTGTAATACTTCACAGTTCAAGCATCTCAAAGACTGTTCTTTAAAATACTTAAGTTTCTCAGAACAAATACTCTTTCAGATTGGAAAAGAAGAAATCATTCAATTAACCGTATCTCTCGAGCAAAGTGATTTCTGGAAGGCATCACTATTTTGAGGACATACATTTAATGTTAACTCCCTCAACGGTTTCCAGATATGCTCTTAGAGACGTTATATGATACAGTTTTACATAGAGATCTTTTTTCTCCTCACCAATATCATCATCAGTTTTATCTGCAGGCTCTTTCTCAAGGCACTCTCGTACAACATCTCGCCCCAGAAGCGGATCAGAAGTTCTGTCAATGTCTTCGTCCTCCTCTTCTTCTTCATCTTCAGAGTCTACAGGTGCTTCTGGAAGACCTGTTAAATCAACGTCTCCCATCTCACTCTCTGTAGCCTACAAAGCAAACATCCATCAGACAAAGACTTCAGTGTCTGCAGTTTGGTGATTTATGATCTTAGGTAGCTAATACCTAATTTCAGCGGCTGAAATGAAAGGGATTTGATCTCATTTTGGTATTACAGCATGGATTTTAATCCTAGCATAGAGCACGTATGGCAGGAGGAGTATATAAAGGAAGGGAGGAGAGAGACAAGGATGACTTTTCTTTCCTCTGTTGGCTGATTCTCATTTGATGGCATTTACTCTGGTTTGCAAATTCACATAAATATGACATTTTTTCACAACGTGAGACCCTGTATTACCAATGAAATAATGCAATGATTCAGTACTACCATTGGTTACCCAACAGTGTAGATACACCTCTACTGCCATCAATAGATGGCAACAGAGGCATCACGCTGAGCAGACATGCGACGCGCTGGTGGAAGAGAATGCAATACTGGTAACAAAAAGCAGAATGGCACAAGACTCGCTATAATTCCTTATGTAAAGTTTAAATGATGTAATTGCATGAAAATAACTTTGCAAGCAGATGGGAGGCGAAGAAAAAAAAGCAGCAGTTCTGGATTTGCAATCTCCACCGAGGAGTTTCTCCATCACTTTTTTTTAGTTGAAGCCAGCATGCAAATCACTCTTCTGTTTAAATTCAAAGAGTTGAACAACAAGATGTGTCACTGAGAAGTACAAAGCAATTACATCGAGACTGGCAGAAAAGGGAGTTTAGCTTTTTAAATGAACACGTTGACAATATTCCCTTTCACTTTAAGAGGAATCCTGGAGATTTTACCAAAACACGGAACAAACCAAAGCAGCAAATGCTCTGCATGTTCACAAATCCTCCAAACCAAAGGATGGGATCCCATCCACCCTGACACTGAACACTTCAGTGATGGGGCGGCCGCAGCTTCTCTGTGCTACCTGTTCCAGCGGCTCAGCACCTCCTCTTCTGCAGTTTAAAACTGTTGCCCCTTGTGCCACAGCAGGTCCTGGTAAAAAGTTTTTCTCATAAGCCCCTTTTTAAGTACTGACAGGCTGCAATAAGGTCTCCTTGGAGCCTTGTTCCCTTCTCTCCAGGCACTAGGGACTTCCTCTTACTGCCATGACATTGCAAGTAAGATGGAGAGTGCCTACAGCAGCTACAGCATCCAACTCTGGACCGGGGATGCATCTTGTTGGGTTCCATGGACTTGTGTGTGTTCAGGTTCCTCAGGTGGTCTCAAACCTGAAATTTTGTTACCATGGGAAGGACTTAATTTCCCCAGTCCCCACACTGAGGTTCAGGGACTTGAGAGATGTGGGAAGAGTGACTACTGAGGTGAAAAATTCACTGCTGAGTGCCTCAACCTCCTCCACATCACTGGTCCTCCTGCCTTTATGGAGGCAGGAGGGGGTGGCATTCACCTCCGTTTATGGAGGCAAGGGGGTGCATTTTCTGTAATCTTTTTCTGACTAATATACCCTTCTTATCCTTCCCATCCCTTGCCAAATCCAGCTCCAACCACGCCTTGCCTTCCCTGATCCAAACCCCACACCTGCGGGCAGCATCCCTATCTTCCTCCCAGGATAATGTCCCTGGTCCCACACTGGGTGCATTTCCTCCTTGTGCTTCAGTTTGACCAGGAGGTCTTCCTCCAGCCATGCTGGTCTCCTGCCTTCCTTTCCTCATACAAAATAACACTCATTTTAAGTGATTCAATCACAGCAGACTGTGCTGCCTCCGTCTTCCCACACGCTCCATGTTGATCAGCTAATGCCAGCCCCAGCACTTTGACAGATGAGCAGCATTTCCTTCTCTGACTAGACAGAAAAATACTGGGATTTAGACATCACCTTGGACCTTTTGAGCTTGCCCTCATTTTAATGGTTAGCCAGCAAACCTAAGAAATAAGGCTTAAATGATTTAACATCAGTATTTCTTTCAGAGGAGGGTAATGGGATATATAGGGTTAAATCTGTTTTACATTACATCACTTTACTGGCTTATGTAGCTCACATTAACAGTTCTGGAATTAAGCCCAAGTGCAAATTGTGCTTGGAGAGTCTCAGCAGCACGTGATCCACACAGCATTTTCTGCAAGGACTTTTCTAGCATTTCTTCAGCCAAATAGCCACAATTTATTTCAACTTCTCCAGGCAGAGCAAGACAGGCTACAGAACTAACTCCCCCTTTGATAAACTCAAACTAAGCTAACAAAACAGGCCACAGGGTCTACTGAAAAGTGGTTCTTTAATATTTTCATTGTATATTATATATAGGAAAATGAACCGATCTTCTTTTCTTGATAAATGTGATCATTTGATCAAGCTATGAAATAAGAGATGATCCTCAAACCGTGTTTCAAAGATTACGTGCAGATGGTTGACAAAACGTTGGCAGGTCAGGCAGTGCTGGAAAGGACAGGAAGGATTTCATTCCTAAAGCCATCTGCAGAAGTGGCTGCTCTTCCCAAGCACGATGCCCCAGCTGTTTCCACTATCAAATATCAAAATCAGCCTTAACAGAAACATTTATGAGTCACTAATGTACAGACTGAAAGCAGAAGCTGCAAGCCCCGAATCTCACACAGACATGGATTTTCAGGATCGGGAATATATGGCAAGAATATCTACTGAGAAGACTGTTGGAACAGCCTCAAACGGTGCGTGTCAAGGGGCTCACCTGGGAAGTTAGCACCAGATCATGGTCAAAACACTTATTTGCTATCTTAAAATACATTATTACTCTATGTAATACTGCAGATTTTGCCAGCTAACATGGATCAGCTCTGTTTGTCCCATTGTGGCAATGTCCCATCCACTGGCCTACACTTTGAAGCTAAAGACATCAAGAATAAGCCCTTGCAGTGTTGTAGTGACAGCGATACGTATTCCACTATAATGTGGGTCAGAAACATACCCCGACACCACTTAAAAGATTTCCTGTAATAACTCCATATGATAACGTATTTAATGCTTGTGACTCCTGATGCAACCTATTAAGAACAAGGGATTTTTTTCCCCTTCCCTCATGTCAATTCTGTCAGGAGAAAAAACTCCAAGCCTTTCTTCAGAATTGACAGAAAACCCCTCAAGTAAGGCCCACTCCCATATGCATATTTTATAGATAATCCATTTTAATATCCAAACCTTAACCACAACTGGAATTAGTGCTGGGCAATAATGTTGCTGCCCACAAATAGCATATCCTGCCAAAGTGATAAATGAGAGATCGACAAAGAAGAGAAAGAGAGAAGCTTTAAGTACATCACTGACAGAACTAACCAGATAAGAAACAATTGGCTGCTCATTAAGAGAACAGCATTGCAAGCTGTCGATACAGGGAACTAATTCATTCTAGTAGAGTGAGACCCTACCCACCTACATCTGGAGAGACGATCTGGACTACCTGCTGCCCTGGCCTGTGCCAGGAAAAGGCAAAGAAAGATGCTTTCATCCTGCAATACCTGCTGAATTATTATATGAGGATACTTGGTACAGGGCAAAGCAGCTGAGGGGTAAAATCCCTCATTTCAACTTCGGTAAGCATAACCATAGAGCTTCCCCTGCTTCTGTGGTTCTGAAGCTAAGCAGAGCATCAGAAATGGGTTGAATGAAAAAAATCACAGTAATAAACCCCCACTTTGAGTAAATTAAAGTTGTTTTAAAACCTGTATGGGAGAACTTACTTTATTCTCTCTGTTAAAATAAAAGCCTACAGCCCAACAGAGAAACAACTGCTCTGCAGTATTCCAGGGAAGTTGGACCTTGCAATAGATGTATTTGGGCATTTTACCATAAACACACTGAAAGCTTCAACAGGGAGCAGTAATGGTACAGGAAGAGGGAGAAAAATGTCTTTATAAATGTATGTCCCTGTGTTTCTGCAGCCAGCTGAGGGTCTCGTACAATGTGCTCGCAGGCAGGACTCCTTCTCTGCTGATCTCACCTCAAGCTTTCTGTTCATCGCTTCCTGTTTAACATCCTGGACTGAGAGGCAGCTGGAACAAGTGAAACCTCATTTCAACACTGTCAATGAATCCAGTGTACACAGAGGAACGGAAACCCCTTCCAATGTTCATAAAAAATTGCTTTGCTCTTTGCTTCTACCACTCTAATTGTGTTTTCCTATTCTGGAATTACGTTTGCACTACTTACTGTAAAAATTAATGTTAAAGATACCATTAATTCAAAAGGTCATTTCAAGGCTACATTAATCACAATTACTCAAAAATGCTTTTCTCTCTGCTGACATTAATGATACTCCTGGAGAGTTTGGCATGTTGCAGATATGAAGCTGACTGTAAAAGCAAAAGCAAACCATCATTTTCCAAATGGTTCTATGAAAAGCTCTATTTCAATGCACCAAAAATGCTTTCAGCTACTGAGCCAATACATTTAATCAAAATGTAGGTTTATTGAGTATCAGAGACTCTCTGCTTTCATAATATAATGATGAATATTGGGGAAAACACTTCTCTTTCTGATTTCAGAATCTGTCTATATTGATGCGTCACCGCAATATAATGCTGTGTTAAATACTGTGCCATGACTTTATCGCACAGTATCTACCCATGCACTTCTAACTGTGTGACAAACACGAAGAGACTTCTCCAAAACTGTTATAGCTACTGCAGTAAAGCCCATAAAATACCTTTTAACAGGTAAGAATTTGCACATTCGGCACACAGGAACCAGATAGGAAAAATTCACTAAAAAAGGGATTAAAAAAACAACAGAGGGTTGGTTTATTAACAATCTGCAGTCATTTTCATATCATTAATCATTCCTTAGGGTACAAAAATACATTTCACCACCGTTCATTTGCTAGTGCATATAAATATGCTACTCCATTATTTCTTTATTTATATAAATCTCATTTGTTTAGCAGTTATGGTTTTCTGGCATTTTCTGAAGAGCAGCCATAAAGCATTTCAAATGCAAGGAACGAGACATGACAGAGGAGTCACTCATTCCTAGAATGATAGTTTTGTTATCAATAATATATTTTAAGTGCTTTTCACTTAGAGCAACCTCGCCAAGCTCATCAGGTAGACAGGGAGGCAGACAATGGTCAGGAAGACCCATCCATCAGCATCCTGATATATGAGATGCTAAGGTACAATACACAGACTAGATCTGGTGATTCCAGTTAATTAAATCAATTCTGTTGACTCAGAAAATTAATAAATAAATAAATCAAGAGACAGAGCAACATCTTCCAGCACCATCAGAGAATTCACAGAGGACCGTGAAGACTCTCTCAGGGATTCCAGCTACTCCTGACCTAGCTGGCAGCAAGGAAATCTAAAGAAGCTGTAAGGTAACAGATTAAATAGGACAAAAATGCTTAGAGACACTTTGTATTCTAAGAGGATTTTGGCTTTTAATGCCTTAAAGTTACCTAGCAATACTTTGCTGTAGATAGATATAACACTAAACTATTTCATCCAGTATAGCAATAGTACCTGGGTAGCACCAAGGAAAGGCAACGGGCGTCTTAAGTCAAGTTACATCCACATCATGCTCAACAGTTGCTTGAGCATCATGTGAGGTACTCTCCTGCAAGAGTAGCAATGCTAGAATTTCCACAGTCAATCAGGGCAGAGAGTGTGTTTTTTACCACACTTTGGCTTGCAGAACAGAACATCTGTTATTAACAATAATACAAATCATCAAGGAAGGTATTTGAAACACAAGAATGATTTAATGGAATTTGTTCCGCTGCAGAAAGAAGGAAGATGATCAGTTGATCATGAAATGGGACTTTTAAAAGCCACAGCACACTTGGGGCTTATAAAGATGTGAAAAGCAGTAACGATAGCTTTACAAGGAGTTTAGTTCACTTTTGTGTGGCTGTGGAGTTTGCAAATCACACAAGCAACACAGGGATGTGCAGAAGCATCAGGGGGTCAAGCCTTGGATAAACGGCCGGTGGTTTTGTTTTGGGACTGTTTAACATCAAGGGAGGAAAAACACAACACAAATGCAGTTTTACCTGATAAATATCAGATAGGCTGCTGCTCCCAGAATCACTGGCAATGCTACATCCCGACTGGCTTGAAGGGACATGCGTCACCTGAGGATGAGGATTGTCGGTAAGATGCATCTTGGTAAGATCGGCTGGAAGCTGTAACACAGACGTGGGGAAAGAAAGGAAAACAAGAAGTGTAAGTTTGATCTGAAAACAAAGTTATGTGTAAAACTTTTGTTACAGAATTGAATATCCATCTGTAACTTAGCTTTCTCTCAAAAGGTATGACAAGTTAGACTGAGCTTGACTAATCATAGAGTGGTCTGAGTTGGAAGAGACCTTAAAGCTCATCCAGTTCCAACCCCTGCCATGGGCAGGGACCCATTCCACTAGAGCAGCTTGCTCCAAGCCCCTGTGTCCAACCTGGCCTTGAACACTGCCAGGGATGGGGCAGCCACAGCTTCTCTGGGCACCCTGTGCCAGCGCCTCAGCACCCTCACAGGGAAGAGCTTCTGCCTAAGAGCTCATCTCAGTCTCCCCTCTGGCAGGTTAAAGCCATTCCCTCTTGTCCTAAATGAAAGACTACAGAACTTCTTCACTATCCTACTATTTACTTTATTCTAGTTTTGTGTCTATTTTACTTACAAAAGAAAAGTCTAAGATACCCACCCTGTACATTACTACCTATTTCACATGAAATTGGGAAAAGACAAAGTCTGAAAAGCAAGAGATCGCTAAACTCTCACAAACTCCCATTAAAAATAACACATCCAAGCAGTAGGTATAGAAGAGTGAACTGATCCAAGCACAAAGGAAACGCAGCACTTTGAAGCCTATGTTTAGACACCCAAAAAACAGGCTGAAAAATCTATTTTGGGGATTTGAGAACAGCAGAAAGGTCAAAACACTCAGCTGACAAAATCCAATCCAGTGGCCAAGAGACACATTCACTATCTGTCAGCACATGAAGCACGAAGCGACGTACACCGAGAGGTGACGTAAAACGAGAGGTGACCTCTCCAACAGCAATGAGATGTGTAGAAGTGAAGAAGGAAAGCTGACATTTAATTCTGCTCCAGAGCACAGGCTGGCTTCGTATATATCCATCTGAATATGTCCACGCATCTTTGTGCCACATACGGAAAGAGTACGGACACCTATGGGCACAGGGCAGCAAGTGTTATATTATCTCCCTTAAAGCCTGCAGAGATCTGGATTTACTTTTGCTGGTGACACCTCTGTGCCGATGGAGGTGGTTCCTCCGGCTTGTCCCCGTCACAGTGTCTGGTGGCCCCATGCTGCAGGGTGACACTGCTCCTCTGCTCCCAGGGGTTCACACGTCAGCCAGCTCCTCTGCAAACACACTGCAACGCTATCGGCCAAGCGGCAAGACAGAGGCACGCACGAGCAAGGTCAGTGCGTCATTTGCCAGGAGGATGGCATCCAGCACAGCCCGGTAGCTGCTAGCAAGTTGCTAGGCAGGGCTGCTGGCAGCCCCTGACACACTGGAGGTCACTGCAGCTGAAAAATCCCAGAGCTTTAGTAAATTATGGAACAAATCAACTCATGCGGATTCATCACCCCCGCCTTAACGAGAGCACGGATTTGCTGCAATCTCCCCAGCCTGTCCCCATCTTCATCATCTCCCTACCCCAAAAACTGGCTCCAAGTTCAGCTTCAACCAGATTTCTTTCCATCCCTGAGCCAGTCCCACACTGACTGTGATAATACAGACACAAGGAAATTAAATTTAGGCTATCCAGATCCTCAAACCTTCAGAACAGCTCCAAGAACCAAGTAGGACCAAGAGCAGAACTGATCCTATGGGATTTCCCAGGAGAACAACAGCAGGTGCCTCTCTCTACCAAAAACTGGCACTATCAAAGCCTTTTCTGGCTCAAAGAGTCTTCTGTTCCCAAAGAACTGTTCTAATCAATTCATTAATCACTTTCAATCGATCTTCATTCTCCCTGCCAGCACTCCCCTTCATTTCTATCACCTATACAGCACACAGGCGTGTAAAATGCTGCGGCTGGAGTCTGCAATATATTCTTGTAAAAGACATTTAATGCAGGTTGGATGCAAGGAAACACCACAATCTCTCTTGAAATTTGAGAGAGAGATAAGGTTTATTTGAGACAAGTGACCTTTAAAGTGCTGCTTGCCACTCTACTCCATCTCCCAAAATAAATCACAGCTTCTGTCTTTCGTATGCCATTTTTATTGCCCAAACTGATTGTTCTTTCTTCCAGAGCTCACTAAGCACCAATACATGGGTAGGGTGTTTCTGTAACAGCATCACAGCGGATGCGGGAAGGATGCGCTGCGTGGGGCAGTGAACTTGCTGAAAGGGGCCTAAAATTGGCTTAATATTGGTGAATAATGTTCACTTTCTACTCAACTATGATTTTGTTTGTGGGAGAAACTTAGAACCTGTTGTTACAATTGCGTGCATAGCTTGAAAAATTACGTGTTGGGAAACAAGTTCAAAACCACAATGTTCATCTGTGTCCACCTCAGAGGCTTTCAGACACAGGCTTATGTATCTGCCTTATCTTCTAGCTAGTTGTGTGCCCCAGCAGCCACAAATAGGAAAACCCCAAACAGCCATGAAATTCTGATGAACTCAACACAGAAATAAACTATTTACTTGCCATTTTAAACCGTAACTTCTACACATCACTTCTGAACCGCATCTCACTTGATCTCACCTGAAACTATTCCATTTTCAAGCCACCCCACTTGAGATGTCTGATAACTGAAGATGCAAGCAGGACAAGAACTGCCACGCTACTGGGACACGAGTGTGAACAGACATTTCCCAGCTAACCCTGATTTTCTAAATGAATACTTAATTTAGCCTCGCAGTAGTATTTCTATCTATACCTATGGCAACACATGCTGTACAAGAAGTGATTTGCCAGCTTCCTCCAAGTCGTATTCCATAATTCTGAAGTTAATGGGAGTACAAATTCCAATATATGGTGTATCTCACACGCTAACAGACCACTTCTACAGGCCCAAGCAGAGTGCGTCTGCAGTGATATTTACTTCCTACGCAAACCCCATTTACTCTCAGCAGTGAAGTCACACAGAGTACTTGGGAATTCAATTAAAAGCTAATTTGGGTATAACAGGTTTTTAAGATTGTAATGCCCTGTACAACAGAGTAAGTTCCGTGAGCTCTGATGAGATGACCAACTCTTGAATCAACTCTTTCTGAGAAGCACACTAAAAGTGATTGTTAGCTTGAGGACAGCTTCCCTTTATGTGCTCCCTAGGAAGGTTTTGCTACAAATTAAGGCTATAGAAAAATCACTGCACAGTTTATAGGGAGAGAAAAGCAACCACAGAAGTCATAAGTGAATTAATGCCATGGAGAGAGAGTCCCGAGAGCTTTGTCTTTCTATTCCTCATTCCTTCCAGGGAAATGAAAGAGAAGAACCTCATCAGCAGAGGGAATACGCTCTTCATGCTTTACTTCCTAGATGACTTACTTTTGGATTTACCAATATCCCTATGGAAAAGCCACATCTGTGCCTTTCTGCCACAAGTTTTGAAGGCAAGTATCAGTGCTTCCTGGTACAGTTTGAATAACCAAAAAACCACATGCTGAAAAGATACAGACAACATGAATCTGCAAAATAGTCTTGACAGATGGACACAAGACCCACAAATTATCTTTTTCCATGTGTAAAAGAAGCTTCACCATTGTGATTTAACCTGCAACAAATGGCATGTTTAATAAACACATTCAGAAACATCCTGCAATTGAGGGCAGCAGCCAAAGGACTCATCATCACAAGCCAAATTACTACTGGAAGCACAGTCCACATAGCTCTCCTGGTGTATAGTGTCCATTACAAATCCAAATTAATGGATGGAAAATGGGCAATAAGGAAGCAAAAGTTTCACCTCATTCTTTATTTGATACACCTTGATAGCAAAGTTTTCCATCAGTTTTCCTAAGTCCCTGTAAGGATGTTCACAACCGATCGATGTAGTCTGGACACAGGAAAAGCATCGGCCTCCGAGGGAACAGTTTGTCCTTTTATAGGCTGTGTAAGCAGGTTTTCTGTCCTTGGTTTTACAGATTGTCAGTAACCTTATACCTTATCTGCTTTTCTGAAGCTCCCTGAAATGTTGCCAGCAAGAGCAATATTCAGAAACACCACTGGGTTTCTTTCCATGAAGCACTTGTACGACTGCTGTGTCACCATAAAACCCACCACGCGCTGCTACACCAACCAACCCTCCCACCCCTGAAGCCAGCTCTCAGCTCCGAGCCCAGCTATCCCATTTTTAAGGCACGTGTATTTATTATTTTGTTTATTGCTTGAGGCTTTCCATTAAGAGCTTTTCACTGGTTTAAGCTGGAACCCATTAACACACCCTTGGGGAGTGAACTGTGATGACACTTGGGAACCTCTGAGCTTTAGGAAATGCTCCCGCCTCAGCCTCCCTTGCACCCACGTGGTTTAAGGGCAGCAATTTTCCTCTCTCAGACAATACAGAAAGTCTAGACTGTAACAAAGAGCCAGTGAAAAGAAGCATGTTTGCCTTCAGCTTTAAAAATTACATTATATTGCCCAACTAAAAAGACCGCTTGATGATAGAGCTCTCCTCGTCAGTGACTACATCCTTCCATTCCCTTTACATGCCATTTTCTTTTTGATACCCCCAAATCCACGATTCCTTACCCAGACACGGGAAGCTGAATTATTTGGAGGGTTCAGAGATGATGAGCGTTTTTCTGCTTAAGTGACAAGGCTCCAAACCCCTACCACAGCAGAGGAAGCTTTGTCTGAGGAGCTGGAGGGTGGGATGGGTTTCCTACATGGCTCTTTCATGGATACCTTATCTCAAGACACCAGCAAGCACCCAAATGCATTGCACCACAGCAGTCCTGGCCTTTTGGAGCCCATCCCAGGCAGCATGTCCTAAGAGGACAGGACACTGCTGGCTCTACTTCCACATACTTTTCCTTCCACTGGCATTACAGCATCCAGCTGTTTGGATGGTCTCACTACGTGCCTGAGTGTCCATCATCAGCTTGTGCATTTTCACAACGCAGCTGATTTCTTGAATTAGCTCTATCTTTTCTTTCCTCCCCCCACTGGAATCAGAGCAGTGATGCTCACTCCCCCTGACACAGT